CTCAGCCCCAGGTCAGTGGGGGATCCCTCCTCCTTCCATCCTCGGACCCCCAGAGCTGGCCGATGTGAACCTGCCCTGGTTCTGGGGCTAGAGCTCACTCAACTAACCCTTAGAGCCCCGGCTCCCCAGGCCCAGCTCCCACTGAAGGGAACCAGCCCTCATCAGGCCTGGAATGCACACCCCAAGAGGCCCTGCTCTTTCTGGGAACCCAGCACACAAGAGCCCTGCCCTGCTGTCCAGCTGCAGCCCCACTGCCCAGTCCTGGGCTAGGCAGCTCAATGCCCCACCCCTAGCCCCCACCAAGGTGAATTTCCACCCCGGAGCCCCCAGCACCTCCCCCAAGGCAGCAAGCTCAGAGGGAGCCAGGATGTTCCTGGTGGATTGCTCAAGACACGCCTCACCAGGCCACGGTTCACCCAGGCCACGCCTCACCCAGGCCACGCCTCACCCAGGTGACGCCCCCCCTCCACAGCATGCCTCCAGGCAGGGCCACACCCCACCCAAGCCACTCCAGGAAGCCATGCCTTCCAGGCCAACTAGGTCTAAACGGTCTCAGCAAAACAGATCACCAGCCTTCAAGGTCTCATCCAACGTCAAAAACACAAAAGCAGACCACGTGCCAGCCGCCCCCTGCTGCCTCAGGGGTGAGCAGCACAGAGAAACCACTGGCACAGATCAGCAAGAAACATTCACCCTGAAAACCCAACCAGCTGCAAGCCCCAGCACCCCTCCCCCGTGAACAAAGGAAGGTGGAATCCAGCAAGAAGTGGTGACTCCTATTGTTTAACCAGCAGGCTGCAGGGTCTGTCAGGGCCCCAGCACCGAGGAGGTGCTTCAGGAATCACAGGGAGGCCCGGCTTCCCGCCAGGCCTGGCCCCACGGGACCCTGCAGCTAACTGCTCCTGCATCCCCCCCAAAAGAACGGCTGGGCACAGGGCAGATCACGAGCCGTGGAAGAACACGGCAAACAACACATCTGGGGCTGCAGGCAGAGTCTGGCTCGGGGCTTTTTACAGTCTTGCTGGAAAAATTAATTCAAATTGGGCTTTGTCTAAGCACCCCCTCGTGGGCTGAAACCTGGAGTAAAGGCCGTAAAGAAGGAGAGCTGATAAATGGCAGGGCGTAAAGCTGCACGGGGGTGTCCAGTGGGCGCTCTGGGGACCAAGTTTTATTTAACATCTTCATTAGTGATCTAGAAGGAGCAGTAAACAGCACATTAATTAAATTTCCAGATGATGCTACATTTGGAGGTGCTACAGAAAGTCAAAGAGGACAGAGAAATGCTACAGATGGGCTCCGAAGAGGTTACAGGAGTGTAAGAAACAGCACAGGCTTCAGTCTCCAAACAGAGAACTAAGCGTGACACCCCACGGCCCAGGACGCCCTCACCGCCCTCTGCCCACTGCCGGCCGCGTGCCAGCCCCGCCTCCCGAGTGCCCGGGCCCAAGCCCGCAGATCCAGAGGGCCGGCGGTGCCCAGGTGACCGCGACAGTCACAGTCTCCCTGCCTGCTCTCAGGCCTCGGAAGGCAAAGGACTCTGGGAGCGGGCCACCCAAACCAGCAACCCAGATCAGGAAGGCTGCCGTGCAGCTAGACGCCCGACACCCGTCGCAGTTCACACGCAGGCCGGTAAGGCGGGTCCCGCGCGGGGTGTCTGCAGAGACAGCCACCGCACTCTGAGCCTACGCAAGACGCGCCAGGGGCTCGGACTGGAGGCTGCGCCCGCGCAACACACTCAGGGCTCCGAGGCGTGTCCAGACACGGACGGCGCTCGAGGCCCCTGACTCGCTGGCTGTGCGACCAACGTCACAGCGTCAGGACAAGCATCTCTCAGCAGAGGCGACAAGCTCATCTCACCCTTCAGGAAAGGTTGAGAAGAAGGAAACTCTACAGCAAGGTCTAGCTACAGAACCCCACCCCAGAAAAACAGCCCTGAAGCCCGTGGGACAGGCACCTGCAGCCGAGCACACGCACACAGTACACGCAGCCGCCTGGGCAGTGACCGGGACACAAGCCTGCTTCAGCCATGGAAGACCGAGCCGGGCGGCCAGCTGCCCCACACACAATGCTCAGCACACGACGGTGCCGTGGGGCCCACCCTGGAGGACAGACAGAGAAACTGTGGCACGCACACGCACACCCATGCACACACACACGTGCACGCACACACAAAGGAACATCATTCTGCCATAAGCAAGGAGCGAGTCAGCCACCTGCGGTGGGTGGCCCCCGAGGGCCATTCTGCTCCTGAAGGAATCGGACAGAGACAGATGCCACCGGCGCTCAGCCGGCCCTGAGCAACAGCGCACGGACACCGCGACCGGCAGCGAGCAGAGGCTGAGTGACAAGGGGCCGCCTCACCCCGCTGTCAGATGGCCGTGAGCGCTGCCGGGACGTGGCGACAGCTGAGTGCTCGGGGTGACAGCCACTGAGGGGTCTCGGGGCTCTCCTTTCGAGAAAACACTCGCAGCTATGTGAGTGCCGCTGGTGGCTGAGCTCTGGGCGGCCGGGGCGCACTGTCCGCACCTCGCACCGTGACGCCATCCCCCGCGTCCCAGGACGCTGCGGGCGGGGAGCGGGGCTGCTCAACAACAGACGGGCGACTGGCGGGAGCACGGCCCCTGCGGCCCGGCGGCCCCAGACATGGGTGTCAGTCACCCACCGGCACATCTCACACGTCAACGGGGTGCAATTGGGGAATGCCCTTGAGCATGACCTGCCCCACACCAACCCTGCCCCCCATGGGAGCTCCATCCAGGCTGCAGGCGCCCGCACCCCACCCGGCCGCAGAGCCCAAGCCGGGGCATCCGCCGGGCAGCGGGGGGCACAGCCGCACAGGGAGAGAACGCGTTTGTCTCGCAGGCGACATTTGTCACTGATGCGTCACGTTAACTGGAACAGGCAGCAGGGAAACCGGCAGTTTACGGCAAATCAGTCACAGTCTCCACACCCTCGAGGAGACGCCTCTGCACAGAAGGGCCGGGGGAGCCCCACGGCACAGCCCGCAGGCGCCCCCACCCTCCACGGGGACCCAGTTCCTGCAGGCCCCAGCTGAGGGGCCCTACTGGACTCAAGCGGCACACCCAGCGCACACCCAGCACGCACTCAGGGCACACACTCACAGCACACCCAGCGCACACACACTCAGGACACCCAGCACACACTCAGAGCACACCCAGAGCACACATGCAGACCACACACCCAGAGCACACCGAAAGCTGCCCCCACCAGACATGTCACCTGAGAGTCACTTAGCCCCAATGTGTTGGTTTCTTCACCCGTGAAACAGGGACCCCAGTAAAGATGGACAGTGGCCCCAACAGAGATGGACAGTGACTCCGAGGAAGCAGTCAGCGCGCGGCTCCCGTCCCCGCAGCCATCACCTGGCAGATTAGAAGGTGGCAGCTGTGGGTGCTGTCAGGGCTGGGCCCTGCATCGTCGTCTGCCTTGGGGGGTGGGGGGGCACCCCCGGGGGTGTGTGGTCTGATCTGAAGAAGAGCTTAAGCATTTCAGCTGCCTGACCTCCCACCAGCTCACTGGGACTCCCCGGGACAGTAGAGGGGACCATCCGGCGGCCGTGGTTTCCCGGCCAGCAGTTGCCACTCGGGCTGTGCAGGGGGTTCAGCAGGGTCTTAGTCACAAAGACACCCCAAGGGAGGTTTCTTATGGGCATGAGTCCAGCTCTCTGCACTGGCCGACAGGCCGGGTGGAACCCTCTCAGGGCGAGGCGCCGCAGTGGGACAGCCACTAACTTGCCTGTTACAATAAAGGGCACTTTAAAACAAGTGTCAAAACCAAGAATTCTCTTTGCTCTCCATCGTCCTTCACCCTCCGCCCAGTAGGGTACGAGGGCACATCAGGACTTATGCGGGGGTGCAACGAGCAGCTTAAAATAAAAGGACCCCCGCTGGCAGCCGCCCTCCTCAAAGTGCAGGGCCACTCACAGGGTGTGAGACCCAGCCCAGAGGCCTCTTGATGAAAAGGTGTGACCACACCTCAATATGGCCACCAGCAGAGACGAGTCCACCGTAGGGACGAGGAGGCGTGTGGGGTCAAGGAGGCGTGTGGGGTCACAGCAGCTGGGGGGACAGTCCTCACAGTGCATCACGCACCCCATTAAGAAAGCATGGGGCTGGGCCTCCCCGGTGGCGCAGCGGTTGAGCGCTGGGTTGCGAAGCTGCCCGTGGCCTCTGCAGCGCCGGTTCGATCCCCGGCTGCTCCCCGGCCACCGGAGGAGGGTCCCACATGGCGCGCAGACCTCTCCTGCCGCCCGCTGCTCCCCTCAGCAGTGTCCTTCGGTCCTTCTGCCTGCTCTGCTCCCCGCTCTGGCTCTGGTGAATTCTCTCACCCTCCCGCGCTTCTGACTGTACCCAGTGCTTGTATAAACAAAACAAACAAACAAACAAATAAATAAATAAAACATGCCTCTATTAAAAAAAAAAAAAAAAAAGAAGAAGAAAGCATGGGGCTATGGGAGACTAATCTGCACAGCCCCAACCTACAGGGGCGCAGACAGAGCAGGCCCTGCAGCCCCCAAGCAGGCGACGGCGCAGCAGGCCCACGAGTGCACAGCTCAGGAGCTCTGGAGAATGGACGAAGGAGGAAAGCAACTTAGTGGCCGCTTAGCCTAAGACACACAACCTCCTCGCAGCGTACATGGCACGAGCGGGGCCTCTCCTGGCCAGGAAGTGGCAACCCGAGAAGGGGCGGCCAGTTGGGATAACAGAGCTGGCAGGGACGCAGGTGAGGAGCCCCCAGGCCCGGCGGCCTTGGGGCCAGGAAGCCTCGTTCTGGTGCAGAGCATATGCTGCTGATGGGCACCTGCAGGGGGGCCTCGAAGCCTCGCCACTGCCACCACCAGGGAGCAGAGGTTTCACGCCTCACTCCTGGCACTGAGAGCTGGGCCAGCCACCCCTACTGCTCAGGAGCCCAGCCGGGCACCAGCCAGAGAGCACGGCCCAGAGGCTCCCCCAGGCCCAGGCCCCATGGACCAGACTTACTCTTGCTGTAGCAGGTAGCCAGCACACCCTTATCCGCCGGACTGGCACTGATGTGCCAGATCTCGCCCACTTGATGGAGGAGGACATTTTTATTTATGATGTTGTTTTCGTCATCGAAGTCTATGATGTGGATCTACAGACAAAACGAGAGAGCAGGTCAGGGCTCAACCCCCGCCCTCATTGGACGCAGAGATGACAGCAGCAGTCGGCGTGCCTCGCTGCCCTCCCAGCACACAGCAGACACCTCGGCTCCAAGACCATGTCACTGCTCTGCTCAAGGGCAAAGCCCGATGGGATCTGAAAGGGCAGACCATGGAGCAGGCTGGCCAAAAAGCAGGCCAGCCGCTGCAGCCCTGGACCACAAAGGTTCTGCCGCGGGCCGGCACATCCAGGGCCTGACACTTGCAGACCCACATATGCCCATGGGGAGGGCCGAGCCAGAGGTGACGACAAGCTTTGCACTCCTGGTGGTTTTAGTCTGTGGCATGAACTTTCTCCTCAAGTGCTGCTTGAAAAAGCAAGAGCACGGCCTTCCTGGTGGCACAGGCGGTTGAGTGCAGGGCTGTGAAGCTGTCCGCAGCCTCTGCAGCGTGGGTTCGATCCCCACCGGCTGCAGAGATACCCACATGGCGCAGCAGACCTCTCCTGTCTCGCCCACTGCTCTCCTCAGCAGTGTATTTCATCAGTCTGCCTGTTCTGCTCCCCGCTCTGTCTCTGGTGAATCCTCTCACCCTCCCACGCATCTGGCCTGCACCCCAGTTCTTATACAAATAAATAAATCTTTAAAAAAAAAGAAAAGAAAAGAAATAGCAAGAGCAAAGTGGCCACAAAACTCAGAACAGGCTTAGCAATGAACATGTATACACTTGTCAAAACAGTTACCTGATTATCGTACTTGAGAGACTGCGTCCCCACCAAGAACCGGATGGCGTCTGTCTCTGCAGTCTGCGGCGTGAGGGCACGCGCCTGCGGGGAAAACACACACACGTTCAGAGCCAGCGGGGAGGCACGGGGGTGTGCGGGGCATGTCTGCAGACAGCGCAGGATAGGCCGGGAAGGGGTGTGGACACGACGCTGCCTCAAACTGAACCCCCAAACACCACGAACTGCACAAACGCGCAGCAGGAAGCAATTGGCACACGAGCCACCCTAAGTCATGCTTTAATATAAGCCACCGCCCCCCGCAGAGATAGGCTGGCTTCCTCCTCAGCAGCAGGACGGGCTGCTGGCCACACAGAGCAGGACGCCCAACCCACGTCTCCAGAAAGGCAACCAGGAGGCCAGATGCTCCAAACTTGTCCAAGGCCTCAGCTGCCGTGATGAAGACAGACTGGGTGTGTGCAAGGAGAGGGCGCAGGCAGGGGCGTCTGCCTCCTCTTCACCACAGCGCCTGTGGCTGACGCCAGGAGAGCGCCCCAGAGATTCCCAGGGCTGAGACCGGGCAGCTCCCAGGAAAGGGAACAGCGGAGCACAGAGGCCGCACCAGAATCAGATCCCGGCATGGACCAGAGCCCAGGCCCTCCCCAGTGGATGCTCAGGTCTGGTGCCAGGCCGAGCCGCCAGCGCTGAGCGATGGCCAGGCCTCTGCAGGGAGAAAACGTGCCTCGGGGCTCGATCTTCACCTGCGCTGCCTGACATGCACCCAACAACGGGCAGAGCAGGTGATCAGGACCAAATAGCAGCAGCGCAAGGCCTTCTGGGTGTCCCTTGCCAAAAGGCTTGCAGGCACAATCCACACAGCACCCTCAGAAAGATGCCCAGGCGCACACCGGCCTCCAGCCTGGCACAGAGCAGCGGCCGAGCCGGAGGCTCCTGGGGACCTGCTAATCCTAAGCACACACATTTCCAGCCACTAACCCTTTCTGTGTGTTTTATGTCAGGCCTTCCTCATGATGTAACGGAGACAGGAAGGCAGGGAGACTGGTCATTCCCCCTGAGAGGACGACACGAGCCCGGAGAGAGGCGCCACACGCCCTGGCCCAGGGGCTGCAGTCCCAGGACCTACAAGTAGAAACTGAGAAGCTGAAATCCCAGGGAAGCCAGAACCGCCCTGAGCCAGCGCACGAGCCCTGTGACCACAGGCCGCAGACGGTGGTGACTGCTCCCTCAAGACAGCCCCACAGGCCACCTGGGACCACAGGGCCGAGCGGGGAGATGCGGGCGCAGGGGCCTGTGGTTCGGGCAGCAGAAACGGGACAAGGTGAGTGTGGCCTGCAGTCCTGCTCCCAGGACAGCCCTGGCCAAGAGCACTGGCCTGGAAATCACGTCCCCTCCCTTCACCCACTTGTCACCTCCCCCAAGTCCAGGCCGGCCCTCAACAGGGACCGGTCACCTGCCCTCCCCACCCTACGTGGCTGTGCACACGTGTCCTCTTCCCCCGCAGGCCAGCCCAGCCTGTCAGCGGCCCAGCTGACAGGGCACCGGGCCCTGCCTGGGGGGAGGGTCAGCCTGCCCTCTGCACTCCCCTCTTCTCTGCTTTCCCTCCCTGGGGAGAACCACTCACCTGACCGACTCCGCTAGCCAAATCTCCCCCATCGCTGCTGAAGAGACAGGGGAGCAGCACTAGCACCTCTGCCTCCAGTGCCGCTGCTCCCACCACCAGGCCTCCAGCACCCCCATCTGGGACCTCCTCCCCTCTGCTCTAGGGCCCCCGCCTCCAGCACCCCTTCCACCTTTCCTGCCCCCCACCCCCGAAAGGGCAGCCCCTACGCTGCTAACCGAGCTCTTCTCTGTGCACAATTCCTCGGCCAGCCCCTTTCCCGCAGCGGTCAGCTCCTGCCCATACAGCTCTGATGCATGGGGTCCAGGGTGGGGGGTCTTTGCCTAATCTCCCAACCAGTCCCCCATTCCTTGCACAGTCCCCACCCCACCCCACTGCCTCCCTCCTCCGTCCTTGCTAAATCATATTGAGCGACCTCTTAGCTATGGGTCTGGAGCTGAGTCTCTCTACAACCCATTCCGCCAATCAGATCCGGACCTGGGGTGCCAAACTCAGCCCGGGCTTCACAAACTCTCAGAGTGCAGACAAAAGAAAGAGGATGCAAAAGGAAAGAAACTGTCTTCAGTGAAACTTGGGAACACCTATAATTCCAAAGCACAGCTCAAGAAGGAAGCCTTAGAGTGGGCAGACACGAGGGGTGCTTGCCGCTGGGAGAAGGGACCCCGGACACAGAGGAGCAAGGGCCCAGAGGGAGGGCACGCCTGCAGGGCGGCACCAGAGTGCAGGGCTGGTGGCAGGGTCCCCACACACACAGTGGGAAGAGAGCAGGGGAGGAGGGGAGACCACTGGTCTCCCCTGGGGAAGCACCTGCAGGCAGGGCAGACATAGGAAGTGCACTGTGGGCAGCCCAAGGTGCCAGCCTCCTGGGCTGGGATCAAAGATGTTTCCAGAATTGACTCCCAAACCAAACCCTGCATGGCGAGAATTCCTGTTGGCCTGGCATGGGTCTGGTTCAGACCCCAGACAGAGCTGGACAGAATGGCTTATAGAAGAAAGACAGAGACAGAGGGAGCCAGAACAGGAGGATTGCAAAGGCGCTGTAAGGAGGGGCAGGAGGCAGGGCACCAGACAAACTGATGGAAGATGTCACCCAGAGGAGCAGAAATTGCAGTCGTAACACCCACGTGTATTTCTGAAACTCAGTGGAGCAGTCATAGCTCCCAAAAAGAGAGAAAAGAATAGGGAGTAAGCAAAGCATCTACTCGAAGGCAGGCAAGACCACCCGAGGGGCCACAGCCGAGCTGACACACTCGCGGATGGCAGGGAAGGAAGCTGCATTCTCAGGGCCACAAAACAGACACCCCCAAAACACAGCAGGGGATGGTGTGGAAGTGAGAAAAAGCTCTTAGGTAAGTTTCAGGCCATGCAGAAATCAAAGTCAAACCTGCAAGATATCCAGAAAACTGTAAAATCAAGAAGTTCACCAGAAAATTCACGGGCCTAAAAGTTTGCATGCTTAAATAAAGAATGAACACAAATCAAGCACATGGCTGACGTTTATAAAAAGAGCCACTTACAAGAGTCCTCTCTTCCCAGGCGGGGCTTCTCCACTCCGCACATGCCAGGGCGGGGCGGCGGGAAGGGGTTTGGTGGCTTTCTCCCACAGTAGCACATCGACCAGACAAACGAAGAACATTCCCAGGGAAACCCACGTCACCAAAACCAAGCTCAAGGTAAAGTCAGCAGCCAGGGGCTGAGCACCTGTAACATCACACTCAGGCCTGGAACTCAGGCCATTCTAGGCATAGAAACGAGGCTCCCACGGCTGAACACGCAGCCAGCCTGGGCAGGGCGGCAAAGTTCAAGCCGAAAAGGACACAGAAAATTGCACAGTGAGCAGCAGGGGACGCATTCCCAGCAACCAGCAGAATCTGCCAGGCTCCTTCCAAGCTGGAGGCATCCCACATGGGGAAAGTCGGGGGGGCAGTAAGCGAAAAGGGCCAAAGGGAAAAGTCAGAGGACCGTAGGCTCAAGCCCATGGGCACTGAAAGCTAGAAAAACAGGACCTCCGTCTTGTCAAACCACCTGCACTCCTACCTGGTCAAACTCGTGCCCTCCAGGGGCAGGCCAGGGGCCAGGTCGCGCTGAGCTGGCAGCCAGCAGGCGGGCGGGGCCGGCGACCTGGGGACAGAACTCCTCCCGGGCTGCTGACCCAGGGCTGGGGGCTTCCCGGGGCCCCGGGGGAGCCGGCGCGTCCCGGCTTGGCTGAACGACACGTACGCTAAGGCCGCGCCGGTCAAGGGCGCAGCTCAGGCATCTGCTTGGAAGAGCCAAGCCCATCCCCACGTGGGCCCCGCGCCCCGCACAGCAGCTCCCCGGCTGGGCAAGGCCGGGGCCGCCGGCCGCTCGTCCTGGGGAGGCCGGCGCTCGGGGCAGGGCGCCGCCAGAGGCCCTCGGGGGGAGCCGGGCGCGGGCACCCACACGTCCCGCGCGCCGCCCCGAAACGCTTCGCGCAAAGTAAGCTCCTGCCCACGCCAGGGCCCCGCGGCGGACGCCGGCGCCGGAGGGGCGCGAGGGGCGCCGCGCGGCAGGCGGGGCCGACCCCGCGCTCCGGCCTGGGGCCTGGGTCGCGCCGCCGGCAGCCCCGCCGCCTCGGCTCCTCGGAGCACAGGGACCGGGGCACCGCGGACGCCGCGGGGGCCCCCTGGGGACCCACCTGGAACTCCAGGCCGTAGATGACCGGCGCGTCGTCCTCCATGCTGCGGCCCGCTCCCCCGCGGGCCGGGGCGCCGGCTCCCCGCCGCTCAGCGCCTCCCGCCGGGGGCGCCGAGCTGAGTCTTTTTGGACCCCGGCCGGCTCCCCTAGCGCCCACTTCCTGTGTTTTCATGGCGCGTCATCAATACGCTCCGAGCCGGCGGCCAGTGGCGGCGGCGCCGGACCTGTGCGCGTGCGCGATCAGCCCCATCCGGCTCCTCGCCCGGCGGTCGGCGGGGGGGGAGCGGAGGCGGGAGGGGCGAGCGGACGCGGGAGGGGCCTCCGGGGGCCGCGCCCGCGCCTTCTCCCCGGGCTGTGCCGCGGCCCTCGCCGTGGTTGACACCCAGGCTTGCCCCGGGCCCCGGGCCTGCGGGCTCCTGCACTGTCCGCAGCAGCCGCTCTCGCGGCGCCGTCCAGGCCGGCGAGCCCGCGGTGACCGCCCTGCGCGGGAGGCCGGGCGCCGGGGCGAGGTGGGGGCCTGTCCGGGCGCCGGGCCGAGAGCCCGTGCTGGGCCCGGCCGCGGGGGCGCCGCACCCGGCGTTGTCTGACTCACGTTTGCTGCTGGACTCGCATTGGCGTGCGCGGCGGGCCGCGGGGAGCTGCTGCGGGGCCCCGGGCGTGAGGAGGCGCCTCTGTCGGAAGTGCTCCGGGGCTCCGGGCCTGACGCCAGGGCCCTTGGCAGACAGCGGCGATTCTGCACAGAATCGCGAAATGCTGTAGCCAAACCCCGTCCGCGAACCTGAGTTCCACTGGCTTCCAGGACCACACACCGCGACCCCGTCTCTGTGATTTTTTCTCCCTTTCCTTAATTGAGCTTTTTTGGTGACAAATGGCTGGGTCTGAAGCAGGTACTGAAAAAGATCCTCAACATAACTACTCATCAGGTGAATGCAAATCAAACCCACCATGAGTTTTCAGCTCACACACGTCTGGGTGGCTATTACCAAGTCACCATGTAAGAAGTGTTGGCAGCGTATGACCTCAAAATGTTCAGATAGGCTTTTTCCAAAATGTCCAGAGGTAGTTTTTCTAAGGCACATCACGTATGGCATGTAGAGCAAGGTCAATCAAGGTTCCGTGAACCTCAGGAGAAACTGTTACCATAACCTTAAAGAATGCAAATTGCTTAGATTTAGGGATGACTCCAGAAATTATCTTTTTACCTGAGAAGTTTATCACAAGACAATCTTAGAAGCAAGGTTTTGTCATTCTCCCCCCTCCTATCTCCTTGGGAAACCCAGGCTCCTACCCCACTCCTTAGCTCACGATACAAATTGCTGCTTTAGCCCATTTACTTTAGAATTTACAATTTTATAAACTTTCCACATATATATATAATAAATTCACTGTTTTTCACCTAATCTTCCAGTGTTAATTTGCTTGCTCATCCACCTTAATATAAAAACCCAGAGGGTAAGGAAATGCTGTCCTCCCCCCATGTGGCAGAGTGCAGGATAGAGGGACCCCCGGCACTGGTGGTAGGGGTGTGAGCTGGTACCGCCACTATGGAAAATAGTGTGGAGATGCCTCCAAAAATTAAAGGTAAAAAGATTTATTACATTATCCAGCTTTGGATTATGGAAATAAAGGAAATAAAGTCACTATCTCAAAGAGATAGCTGTGCTCCCATGTTCATTACAGCATTGTCACAGTAGCTAAGACAGAAGTAACCTGTGTCCAACAGCAGGTGAGTGGACAAGATATGCCATATATACACATAAATACATTTGTGTACAGTTTATGTGAGTAGAATGGTGGGTACCAGAGGTTGAGGGGTAGACGAAGGGAAGATACTGTTAAAAAAAAAAACTTTCGGGGCCTCCCCGGTGGCGCAGCGGGTGAGCGCTGGGTTGCGAAGCTGCCCGCGGCCTCTGCAGCGCCGGTTCTATCCCCGGCTGCTCCCCAGCTGCTCCCCGGCCACCGGAGGAGGGTCCCACATGGCGCGCAGACCTCTCCTGCCGCCCGCTGCTCCCCTCAGCAGTGTATTTCGGTCCTTCTGCCTGCTCTGCTCCCTGCTCTGGCTCTGGTGAATTCTCTCACCCTCCCGCGCTTCTGACTGTACCCAGTGCTTGTATAAACAAACAAAACAAATAAATAAACTAACTAAATAAATAAAAATACATGCCTCTTTAAAAAAAATAAATAAATAAACTTTCAATTATAAAAATATAACTTCAACATGGTGACTACAGTTAATAAGACATCCCATACATGAAATTTATTTATTGTTTTTTAAGATTTATTTATTTATACAAGCACTGGGTACAGTCAGAAGTGCGGGAGGGCGAGAGAATTCACCAGAGCCAGAGCAGGGAACAGAACAGGCAGACTAACAAAGTACACTGCTGAGGGGAGCAGTGGCCGTGGCAGGAGAGGTCTGCGCGCCATGTGGGACCCTCGCGGGTGGCCAGCGATGGAACCGGCACTGCAGAGGCCGCAGGCAGCTTCGCAGCCCAGCACTCAACCGCTGCACCACCAGGGGAGGCCCTACATGAAATTTTTTGAGAGTAGATCTCAAGTTGTCTCAAAACAAAAACACAAAATGGTGACTGAGGTGAAGGTTTTTACTAAGTTGGACTGTGATAATCATTTCACTAAGTGTATGTATATCAAAAATAAATTTTAAATCATTCCAACAAAAAAAGGGCCAGGTGTGTTTTTGCTCAGTGAGTCCTAGCACTGTTTGAGGTACACAACCAAGACTCCAGGGAAAGTTGTTAGATAAGCAAGGCCTGGCTGATTGACAGCAATCAAGGAGAAGGAGGAACAGAGTGAGCAGGCCTTTAAAGGCTCTGTTGCCCAAGATTAAGTCATGGAGTAAGAAAGAGGGTGGTCCCTGGGAAAAGGGGAGGTTCCAGGCTCCCTGCTCCTCCCAAGGGAGGATGGGACTGAGCAGGGAAGAGAAGCTGGAGAGGAAACTGGAGAAGGAAGGAAGCAGGATGGAGAGCATGAAGGAGACCAGGAGGAGGCACGAGGAGCAGAGAGATGGGGGATGGCCAACTTCAGGTGCTAGATTTACAAACTTTATCGTTTGTTTTGTCTGTATTGCACATTAATTGTATTAAACTTCCTTTCCATTAAAGGTCTTATATGTTTTATTTTGATGTGGCAAATGGCAGAACCTATTTAGAGCCGGCAGGTTTGGGGGTGACCCTCCCTGCCCTGTAACAGAGCTAAGTTTCTGAACTGAAACTTCCCAACTAGCTCTGACACTGTTACCACTAACATCTTTGTAAGGTCAAGGCTGGAGCCAGGTTGGGGCAGAAAATGGGAACTTGAAACTGCTGCCACCTGCATCCCTGAGACCAGCTAGAGCCAGACCGAGAAGCAGCAATGAAAGAACCACCTGTTCCGAGAGAAAAACCACTTCTTTGAAAAGCAACTTTGACTCCGCATTCTCCACCTCTCGCCAAGGCCAGACCCTGCCTGATAAAAGCTGACCCTCACCCTCGACAGGGGTCGGTGATGCTCGCCCTGGAGCGCAGTAAAGTTTCCTGCCTGTCAGAGACTGGGCCTGGCCTCCTTCTTGCTACTGTGCCAATCCTCCAATCCAATCCTTTCCATCTTTGTTGTTGATACTATGCCAGTCCCAGCAGGTGCAAAACAATTATTTCCAAGGACCCCCCCCCCCCGCACCCCCGCCGTCTCCCTCCCATGGCACGCAGTCAGAATCACCTGCCCGCCGGCTCTGGACCCCGCCCCTGAGCCCCGGCCCCGCCCCCTGAGCCCCGGCCCCGCCCCCTGAGCCCCGGGCCCCGCCCCAGGAAGCGCGCCGAGCGTGGGCTCCGCCCTGCGCATGCGCGCAAGCGGCTCGGCGGCCCCCGGCGCGCGCAGGCGCAGAAGCCTCCGCGGGCGCCGCGACCTGCGTCCCTCCGGCTTCGCGGCCTCGTCGCCCGACGGGGAGCGGCCGCGGCGACCTCCCCCGGCGCGCGGGCGGCAGGTGAGGAGCCGGCGCCGGGGGCCGCCGTCCCGGCGCCGCCCGCCGCCTCGTCCCCGCCCCGGGCGCCCGGGCGGCTCCCGCGCGGGGGCGTTGCGCGCCCTGGGGCTCCGCCCGCGCCCCGGCCCGCCCCGCGCCTGCCGAGCGAGGCTCCGTCCCGGGCGCCGGCGCGCGGCGGGCCCAGGGCGGGGCGCGGGGTGCGGGCCGGCGCCCACGGGCCCACGGCGCGGGCCTCCGGGGGAGACGTCGCCGCGGCCGCCTCCCGCGCGCGTCCGGCCCGGCCCGGCCCGCCCGCCCGGGGCGCCGGTGTGCAGCCGCGGAGCCTCGGCCCCTCGGAGACGCGCCCGCGCTCGCTCAGGCGCCTGCCGCCCCTCAGGGCGCGGGTCGGGGCCCGGGAGGCGCCCTCCGCGGAGGCCGCGCAGGGGGGCGGCCGCGGCTCCCGGGCGGGCGGGCGCCTCAGCAGGACCCTCGCCCGGCCCGCCCGCAGCTCCCCCGGCGCCGGTCCCGGCCGAAGGGCCAGCTCGCCGTCGGAGGCTCTGCGTGGGGGGCCCGGGGCGCGGGCAGCTGCTCAGCGCCCCTTCCGCGCCCCCGCGCTGGGCTCGTGCGCCGCAGCCTGGCAGGGGGCCCGGGCTGGGGCCTGTGGGCCTGAGCACCAGCGCGGACTGGGGGAACCGCCTGGCTCGTCTTCCTAAGTTGACCCTGAGGCTGACATAAGGTGATCCACGCAAAAGGCTCGGCGTTACGCGCCCGGCGCCTTCAGATACGCGCCCGTTAGGCTTCGTGGAAAGGGCTTCGTGATGGCAACCTGCTGACAGAGTAGTGATTCCCCAGCCTTACATTCAGAAAGGGAACCTGAGCAAACGGTGGTTTTAATTGTTCGTAGTGAATTTAAATGACTCCACGTGAGAACGTCCCTTTGTAAGGCCCACGTGAGCTCGCGGGGAAGGCACTCGCCCGGACGGCCAGACGGCTTGCCAGCGTGCTGCTGCGGGCTTGATCTCAAAGTCGTGTCCCTGGCTCCGTCAGAAGCACTAAGCCAGTGTGAGGAGTGAAGATGGGTCATGCATACCCCAGAACCGTGCTCGCCCCGCTCCACTTTTTAGATCTGAAATGCAAAGAGTACACGTAACACATGTGGGAGAGTCACAGAGCAAGTGTTAACCCAGCGCGCACTCTCAGCCAGCACTCCTGAGAGGGGAAAGCGGCACTTCACCACTACACCTGTGGGCGCCAGGTGGATGGTTCTGGAGGAGCCAAGAGGCCTGGCCGCTATAGTCCAGGGTGGATATTGGTGTCCTGTGCCCCTTCAGCCTGCTGGGTCGTGAGCCTGTCTTCCTATGGGGTGATTACTGTCAGCCTGACCCGCGTCAGGTGTGCCTGAAGGTGGGAATGACAATACTGACAAGCAGCCAAGCATGCCCATTGGTGCCACCACTCAGTACAGCAATTTCACATCGTGTTGTCAAGATAAGGAGGTGTCTTCTCTAGACCCAAAACACACACTTCATGGCATGAAGAAATTTGCTCATGTGTGCCAGGAGGCAGGTGCAAGAGGACTGATTGCAGCACCCTTTGTAGTAGCAGAGACCTACTGACACCCCAGACAGTGGACACTCAGCTGTGAAGCAGGGGACTCTCCAGGTTAAGAGCAGGGCAGGGAAATTAAGTGACAAACTGGAGAAAGTGTAAGTAACGTTTGGAAAAATAAATGGAGGAAAAAATGGAGGATACTAGAGAAGAACAAGAGCAGGGAAAGTTCCAGAATATCACCTCTGGAAGGAGAGGGAGTAGAGACAAGGGTGTGTTGTCTTAATGTCATCATAACTGACGTGTTGTATCCCCTCAGTATTTCATGAAAAGTATAGAAAATGTCCTTGATGAGCAAAGGGGGAGTAATAGGAACTTTCTAAGCTTTTCTCTGGAAAGAAGTAGGCAGACTTCCATGGACTGGACTCCAAGGCCATGCACCTCTTGGCGCAGGGGGTGCTCCCCCGGGGCCACCGCGGCTGCTCTGGGGCAAGCTCCTGGTCTGCAGCCAATTTCAGCCCCAGTCAGTGACCGCGTAGCCTCCGTTTCGGAAGATGAACAACTTGTGTCCCCCGGGATGGGGCGCCAGGGACCAGGCCGGGTCAGAAACAGGTCTGAGAAGACTCAGAACGTAGCTACAGGCTCGGCTGACCAGGAAGATTGCCTTTTGCGTAGCTTTGTCCCTCAGGAGCTTGCTTTAAAGGCATTTTAGGCAAGTTGGGAAACAGAATTGCTTTGCAAGGGTTCGCCCTCCGTGGCCTGTCGTGGAGGAGGGCGGTTCTCGTTAGCAGTGGTGAGCCCCGTGCCCCTAGAGCGGGCTCCTGTGGCAGAGACCAGGCTCTGGGCCCAGCTGCAAGACCCACGCTGCCACTGTGGAGCCACAGGGGACGTGGGTTTCTGCCCCTGCACAGGGACTTGCAGTCTCCTGCTGTGCCCAGCCCCCCTGGCACCTGTGCCAGGCACCCAGGGGAGTGCCTGACTCGGAGGAGTCGCAGTCTCCGGAGCGCTGTGGTCGAGCTGAGGCAGCAGCTCTTGCTGCAGCTCCCAGCCCACACCCCGGACGGGTCTGCGCGGACACCCACCGTCCAGCATCTCGCGGGGTCGGGAGGGCGCAGCGGGCAGCCCTCCTGGGGCATGACCCTGCCTGACGTTCCTCGGGCCTCGGCCTCTGGACTGCCGGGAGCACACGGGGAAATGACTTTTGTTTCCTTTTGTTGTGTTTTTGGCCCGTCTGCAGTTAGTTATTAGGTGGTGGTGGAGAGGAACTCGGAGCTGCCTGCACTGGACGGAGCCCCGCAGAGGCTGCTCACACCATCCGCTTAGCAGCCTTGCTGTGGGCCTCAGGGCGAGCCCGGCTCTGACAGGAAGCCCTGGGCTCTGTCAAGAGTGTTGGCGCGAGGAGAAAGCCTTGTACAGCTGTCACCTAAGTCATTTTCAAAGGCGAAAAAGGTACCTTTTCTGGAAAAACCCTCATCTTTTCTCATATGCTTAACTGGGACGAGATCCTTCTGACAGAGGCTCTGTGTGGTGACCTTTGCTCCAGAAAGTTCAGGAGGAGCAACTGCTTTTTTGAGAGGTCAGTTTCTCTGTGGCCCCCAGAGCAGCCCACGGCCCTGCTTCCAGGCAGCTCCCTGATGCTCGTGTCGGGACGGAGCAAGTGTGCGCTCCGCGCCTCGGGGCGGTGCAGGGCCTCGGTTTGGCAGCATGAGCTGTGGGCGCTGGCGGGGGGGGGGGGGGGGGGGGGCGGTCGTGGCTGGGTGGCGTGTCTCCCGCCACCATGTGGCGAAGGTGATTCAGACGGCAGGTTTAGCAGACGTGTGTTTTGTCAACAAAAATTAAGAGCTAGAGACATGGGGTCTTGGATTCCGAGCTGAGCCGCTTGACTATGGACCTGACTGACGTTTCTGTGGCAGCCTGTTTCCAGGCAGCCTTAGTTTCTACGCACTGAGAACAGGCGCGGCCTCTCCCGCGCCCTGGCCCGCCCGCCGCCGCAGCCCCACCCGCCCGCGCCCCTGCCTCCCGGCGCCGGCCCGCACGTCCTGAGCCTCAGACTGTGCGCGTTAGGGCTTTGGGCAAACGTCTGGTGGTGCCCTGCCGCCGCCATCTTTTAAATTAAAAAGCACCCGTGACGGTGGGAGGAAGTTGGCTCCTGGTGCCTGCGGTGGAAGGGTGGAAGGCGAGCCGGGCTCACCTGTGTCCATCCTCCTTGCAGCCGCCATGGATGACGCCAGCGGGACCCGTGACCCCGAGGAGAGCAGCCCTGGCCAGGCACCCCCGGGAGGCCCGGACCAGCTGCTCTACCACGAGGAGACCATTGACCTGGGCGGGGACGGGCCCGGGCCCGAGGACGAGGAGTTGGTCTCCGACGGCTCCGGGCCCTGTGCGGACAGGCTCAGCGAGCACCTGATGGAGAGCGTCCTCATCTCCGACTCCCCCAACAACAGCGAGGACGACACGGGCGACCCAGGCGGGGCGCGGGGCGGGGGGACCCCGGGGCCCACGGAAGGACACGCCACTGTCCTGTTGGGCGACAGATTGGAGGCCACGCCGAGCCGCAGCAGCGACAGCGACGGGGACGCCACCCCCAAGGGCGTGTCTGACCTGACCCCCGACGGCGCAGCGTCCCTGAAGGGGGACCCAGAGCCCGGAGAGGCCAAAGGCCTGCCCGTCCTTGAGAAGGAAGGGGCCGGGGACTCGGGACACAGGGACGAGAAGGCGCACCCCGTGGCGACGCCGACGTCACAACTGCCGTCCTGCGTGTCGTCCCCGAAGAATGAGCCGGTCCCCGTGTGCACCATCTTCAGCCAGGCGGGGCCCGCCAGCCCGCAGGCACCCCCGTTCCTGCGTGACGGCTTCGAGCCCCAGATGGTGAAGTCCCCCAGCTTCAGCAGCGCCAGCGACACGCCGGCCCGGACCCCACCGCTGGGGGTCCAGCCCAGCCCGAGCCTCAGCAACTTTTTCGGGGACGCCACCACCAGCAACTCTGTGGCCGCTGACTTCTTTGACTCATTCACCTCCTCAGCCTTCATCTCTGTCAGCAACCCCAATGCGGGCGCTGCTGCTCCAGAGCCCTTGTCTCCGCTCCCGACCCCCGGTGGCGGGAGCTCCCCGGGCTCTGGGGCACCTTCCTGCTCCCCGGGCGTGGCCCGGTCTGACTCGGGGCTCTCAGCGGCGTCCCTGGAGAGCCCTCAGTCTCCCAAACCATTCTCCCAGATCCAGGCAGTGTTTGCGGGCAGCGAGGACCCCTTCGCCACCGCCCTGAGCATGAGCGAGATGGACCGCAGGAGCGACGCCTGGCTGCCCGGGAAGGCCACCCGCGACATCCTGGTGTCGGTGGCGACGCAGCAGTTCAGCGCGGTGTTCGTGGGCAAGGAGAACCTCACCATGCCGGGCCTCAAGTTCGACAACATCCAGGTGAGCGGCAGCGTCTCAAAGGAAGTGCCCCGCAGCGGACGCGGAAGCGGTGACCCGGTGTCCACACTTGTCCCTCATCCAGGAAACGCACTGCTGTAAAAACGCACACAATGCCCGCCGAGGACGGGGCTCCGGCCTCGGCCTCGCCAGGGCACTGTCGGCGAGCGCTGCGTGAGGCCTCAGCAGCCCCGTTGCCGGCCTGCTCGGGGGTCGGCCCGGCAGCAGTGTCACAGCGTAGGTCCCCGAGCAGCTGGGATGCCGCGTGCTTGGCTCATGTGTGACATTTAAGCTACAGAAAATGATGAACCTCCCCATTTTTTTTAATCTGGAAAAACACGTTTGTATTACGTGTAACAAACTTGATCAAGACACGTTAAAAATGTGTGAACAGCCCCCCAAAGAAGTAGGTCCCCAAAATACAAATGTTACAGGTAGTCAGCAGTGACCTCAGAAATGCCAGCCCCAGTAAGGTGGTGGCCACTCCTGTTTTCCGGCCCTCGGACTCACTGCGCTGTGCCCGGCGTGTGCTGGGTGTGGACGGGCCCCGTCTCAGCACCCTCAGAGGACCACACACCTGTTCCCACTTTTTAAACTTTAAAGAAACACAGCCGGGGGGACAGGGTTTTCTGCATGCTTCCTGCGAGTCATGTTTTTAAATCTCACGGTGATGGCTTGGAGACCTGGCAAGTTAACATGTGAACAGTCGTCAAAACGCCTCAGCCTTGGCCGTAAACAAACATGCCAGACGCATGTTCCTGCGGCCTCCTGGCGCCCTGCGTCCCAGCACAGGAAGGCCGCAGTTTGCCCTGATGTTTCTTTTTTTTTTTTTAATAGAGGCATGTTTTTATTTATTTATTTGTTTGTTTGTTTTTTTTGTTTATACATGTACTGGGTACAGTCAGAAGCGCGGGAGGGCGAGAGAACTCACCAGAGCCAGAGCGGGGAGCAGAGCAGGCAGAAGGACCGAAGCACACTGCTGAGGGGAGCAGCGGGTGGCAGGAGAGGTCCGCGCGCCATGCGGGACCCTCCTCCGGTGGCCGGGGAGCAGCCGGGGATCGAACCGGCGCCGCAGAGGCTCTGCGTGCAGCTTCGCAACCCAGCACTCAACCGCTGCGCCACCGGGGAGGCCCTGCCCTGATGTTTCTTTCCCAGAGTGGGCTTGACAAAGACGGGTCTGCGGGAGCTCTCTGGTGCATGGCTCCAAGCCGCCCGCCCCTCGGTGGGTCACCCTGGCCGCTGCCGTGGGGCTGGTTCCAGGCCAGCTTTCCAGGACACTTACTTTTGACATTTTTTCCCCAGTTGCTCACCTACTGGTCCCTTCCCTGTGGGATAAAATTTTTAAACTCTTCACAAAGTGACCTTTCTGCCAGTTCAGGGTAGAGACGCCAGGCGCCTGCGGAACTCGTCAGCTGTGCCGGTCCCCAGAACACGGCACTTGCAGCCAGTGCTGAGCGGCCTGTGATCTTAAGGAGGCTCCTGGGAGGTTTGCGGGAGGTAACAGTGCAGGAATTTTTGAAACCGAGGAATGGAAGCCGAGTGAGGAATGGAAGCCGAGAATTTCCTTGCCCAGCCCCTCCCCGGGGCCCCGGCCTTCAGCCTGGGGTGGGGCTCCCTCCCAGAACAAAGCGCACCCCATCGTGCGGCGCCAGCGTCTGGCTGGTTGACATTGCTGTCCTATAACCGCGTTTTAACCTCCACGCGCTAATGGAGTAAAAAGAGATTCTGGAAGTTATGGGTTCTGGTTAGCTGAATTTAATTAACATTTTATTGTCTTGACATATTTTTCTTACATCCTTTCCAGGGAGACGCAGTTAAAGACTTAATGCTCCGCTTCCTGGGTGAAAAAGCCGCAGCAAAGCGGCAGGTCTTGAATGCCAGCTCCGTGGACCAGTCTTTCGTTGGCCTGAAGCAGCTGATCGTAAGTAGCCTCGTCGCGCTTCCAGGACTACCCTCTAGGGTGAACCCACCTTCCCCGCCCCGCCTCCCAGAGTCCCTCGCTTCGAGCGCCGCCCGGAGCCTCATCGGGGCTAGTGCGTCCTGTGCCAGCCACGGCGTCACGTGGAGATGCTTTTAAATTTAAATCTGGTTGGTTTAAAAGCCCATTATTTTAGTGGCAAAATTACTGGAAGCGGCAGATACTTTAATGTTTCGACAGATTTAGGAAAGATGAAGAGTTTTATGCTGATCCTCCTCTTCTCCACGTGGCGCGGTGCAGGCAGGAGGGGGTGGTTTTGAGCATCTCTGGTCCCGGCTGCGAGTCCCACAGCGGAAGTTTCCCTCACGCCTTCGGCCGGCCACCGGCCCTGCTGACGCGCCCGTCTCCCCACAGAGCTGCAGGAGCTGGAGAGCCGCCGCCGACCTGTGCGGGCGCCTGCTCACGGCCCACGGCCAGGGCTACGGAAAGAGCGGGCTGCCCACCAGCCACACGGCCGACTCCCTGCAGGTGCGGCCCGGCGGGCGTCGGGGCCCTTCTGGGGTGCAGGAGGGACTGTGGCCTTTCTTGTCAGTGAGAACAAAGCGAGAGCAGAACAGTGTTTCCCCAGCCGGATGTGCCGGGAGACGCCGCCAGGCACCCCTCCCCGCAGTGTACCGCCTGACCCATGCCCGGTGCGCCGTGCCAGGGTGGTCTGACGCCTCAGGCTGGCCCAGCCCCCTACAGCCTCGCTGGTGACAGGCCCTGTGCGGCATCACCCCAGAGGGGCATGAGGAGGAGGCTGCCTGCAGGGGGGCTCCCGTTTCCAACCCTTCCTCGCTGGGATCTGGCGCAGCTGCTCGGTCTTGAACTTCCTTTTTCTCGGGCAGGCGAGACAGAGTAAGGGCGTTTCTAAAGTGCCTTTTTCAATTCTCAGAGTCTCTGTACCCCCCGACCCCTGCCGTCTCTGGCGCCCCTCCGCCCCTGCGGGCCCTGCACACCTGGCCTCCCCACTCACCTGTCTTCGCCACTGCCCCAGCCATGCTGCGCTCTGGGCCAGGCCCCGTCTCGTTTCCATGCCCCGTGCTGTGCGTCCACACTCCCCGGGTGGCCTCAGAGGAGGTGGAGTCCAGTAGTCACGGGCTGCACTGCTGAGCGCGGGCGTGCTTATGAGCGTGAACGTGCACGAGGAGAGTCCGTTCAGCCCGTTTCAGCACGTCGAGTTGAAGCTGCCCCACTGTGGGGCAGGTGCCCCGGCCTGGGCAGTAACTCCCATCTGTCGCGTCTGATTTCAGCTGTGGTTTGTGAGGCTGGCGCTGCTGGTGAAGCTGGGCCTCTTCCAGAACGCCGAGATGGAGATGGAGCCCTTCGGGAACCTGGACCAGCCGGACCTCTACTACGAGTACTATCCGCACGTGTGCCCGGGGCGCCGGGGTAAGGCAGCCGGGCCTGGGCTCCACGGGGAGGCTGGCGCCTCACCCTCCTTCCTGCCCCCGCACGCTCAAGCAGCACTCTGGGAGGCCTGGTGAGCAGAGGGCGCCCAGCCCCGCGGTCACCCTGCCCTCGCCCGTCCTCCAGCCGCCATTTCCCAAGTGCCTGTCTGCGGCGTTCCCGGTGGCTCTGCCAGCCGGGGCGCGGGGTCACTCGGGCAGCTGAGTTTCCGTGGGAGCTGTGAGCAGGCCCGCTTGGGGCTGCAGGACCGCGCCTGAGGGCAGGGCCCAGGGGGCACAGCTGCTCCTGAGAGGCCACGCCAGTGGCCCCGTCTGCGGCTCCCGGGGGCATCGAAGGAAAGTGCGAGACTGGAAAAGCAGGTGTTTCCCAAGTGGTGGCAGGGAATGCAGCCCGCGCGTGGCCCACCCAGCCCTGGAGTACCACCCCGGGCGGCTCTGCCCAGCTGCGCCTCCGTCCTACCGGGCTGCGCCCACGGGCACCCACTTACCTCCAAGGAGAGGGCGCTGGCGGGGTGCAGGCCGAGCGTCCTGCACGAGAAAGAGCAAAACTCGGGGGTTCCAACCTCGTGCTCTGTGAGGCTGTGCAGGCAGGGCGGCCTCCACTACTCCCAGCCCAGTTGCACCGGGTGCGGGTGGAGGGGAGACCGGCCGCGCATCATTAAGCAGCTAATTTAAATTATGAAATGAGCATAAATTGCACGGATGTTTTAGCCCAAGTGTGTTGCAGTCATCCACAGTGAAGTGCTGGCTTTTACTAATTTTTACTCTCATTTTGTGTCGTCACAAGCATACATGTGAGATTTGATAAATTCATTTCATTTTTGCTGGCAATCTATAAGTAAAGCAGCCGTTAAAATGTGCTTTGAAACAGCAGGCTGTGATGATACAAACAAATAACTTAAGAATGAGCCTTAATATATTTAAACATTGGGCATAATTTTCACCCGTTCAGGATAGTCACAAGACACGCCGTGATCACAAGTGAGGACCGTGCCCCGCCCTCCGGCGCCTCCAGCCCCTCGGGGCCCCACCCTGCCCCCGGACCACAGGGACTCAGGGTCTCCCACTGTCTCTGACAGGCTCTCCTCCCCTCCTCTCCGCGCGGCGCGCCCTGGTCCTGGGTGGAGCCGGTTGCTGTGTCCGGGAGGCCCATCTGCCCTCTGTCCGTCCATGGATGCGTCGCCCTGTCTCTTGCCCGAGCGCGCCGTCTTGACCGTGGCGGCTCTGCCCTTGGGCAGCTCTGGCCTCCGGTCCTGCTCTCCTGGGCGCAGGCCGGGCATGCAGTGTCCGCCTGGCCACGTGGCCGCCGCCGGCAATGTCAACTCTGTAGGAGACCTAGGCGTCCTGACGGGGCTGCGCAGCTCGGGCTGTGTGGGCCGGGGTCTCGGCGGCGCGTGTGTCTGTGGCACCGTGTCTCGGTGTCACCGGTGCCCCTTGCCGGGCTCTGGCGTGCGTCTAGCAGATGAGCTGGATCCTTCGTTTGTTCCGCGCACCTGTGGCCGGTGTCGTGGTTCGCGTCTCACGCTCCTGCTGCTCGCTGTTGACTTCAGCGCTTTAACCTTGTCTCCTGCCATCCTTAACTGCCCAGTAACGTGGGGTTTTGTCATTAGTTTTTGGTGTCTTCTGCATGGTAACCTTGTAGTCTACAGATGCGGTTTTATTTCTTCCTCCTTGGTCTTTATAAATGTTTTTTCCTCTCCCGGCCTTACCGCATTGGCTGGGACGTCCGATTCGCTGTGCGGCAGGGGGGTGGGAAGGGGACAGTCTTCGCTGGGGAAAGCGCCGAGTTTCTCCCCGTTAGCCAGGTGGCTGCCGAGGTTCCTTCACAGACATTCCTCGTCAAGTTGAAGACATTTCATTGCGTCCCCGTCTGCTGGGAGCTCTACCACGGATAGGTGCTGCGTCTGGTCATACACTTCCCGGCGGCCATTGCTGGGTCTCGCGAAGTTGCTCCTGCATCCTGCGCGGCCTCCCCGCCCAAAAGCCCCAGGAGGCAGCTTCATATGTGGCTCCCGGGCCTCTGAGGCAGAACCTTCATTCCACAGTCTCACAACACACGTGCCCACGCAGCACACACACATGCGCACACGCGTGCCCGAGCAGCGCCCTATCACTCCCTCCCCCACCCCCCACCCCCACCTGCACACCCTCCTCTCAGGGTTTGCTCCTGTCCGGGTCGGCGCCTTCCTCATCAGCGCCCTCGTGCCGGGCGCCGGGGACTGACGGCCGCCCATCCTGCAGGGCAGGCGATACTCAGCCTCGGGTCTGTGACTAGCCTCCCTGGCAGCACTTTTGGGTCACCTGACTGGTTCCTGTTAGTTCGTTGGCTAGTTAAGTGGTTAACGTCCACTTGCGCTTGCCACCCTCAAGAAATGCCAGCTGATCCAGGAGTGCTGCGTGTGTTTTCTCCTTTAGAGGAGAGGGCGGCCTCCAGCCTCCTCGTGCGCTGACGCCGTGGCTGAGCAGCAGCGTGGCGCCCGCCTGCGCGCCCTGAAGCCTCCTGGGACTGCAGCTGAGGGGGAGCCAGCACAGAGCTGCGCTGCACCCCCAGAGGCCCGCCCCTGTGGCCTCCGGCTGGGCTGGGAGGGAGCCTGCCACCGGGCGACAGGCCAACGCGCTGTCTTGATTGCAGGCTCCATGGTGCCCTTCTCCATGCGGGTCTTGCACGCGGAGCTGCCGCAGTACCTGGGGGACCCCCAGGAGTCGCTGGACCGACTGCACAGAGTGAAAGCCGTCTGCAGTGAGGTAGGGCCTGGGGGTGGGGCGGGCCACTCCATCCCCTCGCCGAGCCTGTCTCGGCTCCCTCCAGTTCCTGTGTTTCTGGTGTCCACCGTGCTTGCTAAATAATTGTGGAGTGGTTGATGGCTTTGGGAGCTGGGAGTGGAAGCCACGTGTGGACATGCAGCTGCCCCAAGGACATGGCGGTGTGCACCTGCTCCCCACAGGCAGCCATGCTGGGGCGGCTGTGAGCGCCGACCTCAGCCGTGAGCAGGAGCACACTTCACAGGCCCGTGCGGCCACTGGGGCTCAGACGACAAGGCCCCTGAAGCAGCATGTTGTGCCGGCCTGCGGTCAGGTCTCCGGGTGTGTGCGGGACGGTTGTAGACCTTTGTCAGGATCTTTATTCCGAAGGTCTATTCTCCCTGCCCCTCCACAAGCCCCACTCGCCACCCACACTACAAGGGACACCAGAGCTCAGAGAAGCAGCCCCAGGTCACCACCAGACAGGGCTGCAGAACGGAGCCATTCGTGGCCGGTTCGCTCCCAGCCGAGGGCCGCGTGGCTGGCGGGCCTGGGGGACAAGGCCCCACCGCCTGCCTGATGCTTCTGCCAGGCCCCCCGGGCTGAGTCTCTGAGCTTGGCAGCCCCTGCTCCCCCCCCCCCACCCCGTCCTCTGGAAGTCCCGCACCCGCACAGTGAGGTTGACCATGCATGCGAGGCTGCCCTGCCCCTGGCTTTGCCAGAAGGACTCCCCTCTTCCACGTGGGGCGGCACCGCCGGAGCTCACGGGACGGCTTGTGTGACCGCAGATCCTTGCGAATCTGGAGCAGGGCCTGGCTGAGGACGGCAGCACGAGCAGCATCACGCCGGAGAATCGGCAAGGTCAGTGCCCGCACCGGGTCGGGGTTAGCCCAGTGCAGCCTGGGGGTCCCTCCCCAGCCCCGAGCTCACCCGTGTGCTGCCGCTCCCGCCCCGGGCCTCTCTCGGGAGCCAGAACCTTGGCGGGCTGTTGGCGCCTCAGAGCAAAGCTGAAGCTGAGCCCCGCACAGAGACGGTCCCAGCCCCGGCAGGGGCACTGGGCCCTGTTGACACCGACCCCGTGTCCTGAGAAGCCCCAGTGATGCCGGGAGCGCAGGCCACGGGGCCCTCGGCCCTGTGATTGCAGATAGAAGAGTCCGGGGGAGCCTTGCAGCCAGGCCCCTCCCCATCTCCGTGTCGCCCCGAGGCTCGGCTGAGTGCGGAGAGCGGCCACGTGCGGCTCAGCCGGCAGCTCCAAGGCTGGTTCCTGAAGCAAAGCCCAAGAACTGCAGCGCGGGTTGCAGAGATAGCCGCGGCCTGCAGCTCGCTGGGCGCACAGCCCGCGGCACTGAGGGGGCTCTCAGGACCTCCCCCTCACAGTGGTGCGGGGCGGTGGGGGCAGGTCCCGGCGCCACTGGTGTCTCTGAGTGCTGGACATGGCGAATTCTTACTCTGGCGCGGGGCACGTGTTCTCCAGCTGCCGCGGGCAGCGCCAGGTCCCGCCTCCAGCCAGGACGGACTCTTGATTGCGCGCAGGCTGGCTACAGGCCAGCGCCCTCGCCGCGTGCCGGCCCCTCCAGGAGGGGCGACGGAGCTGAGCAGCAGGAGCCAGGTCACCCAGCCTGGCTGGGCCTCGAGTAAGGTCAGGGTCAGCTCTCTCTCCACGGCAGACCTTACTCCTGCTCATCCCAACCGGGAGGCAGACGAAGGTCCGTGGGGGGCAGGCCGCGTGGGTCAGCCTTCCGTTTACCCATGACCCCCTGGGCGCACCTGGCTGCGCTGGGATCTGGAAGACGGAGCAGCGCCCTGCTACCATGTAGGCGCCGCAAGGACATTGTGGTGCCTTGGGTGTGTGCGGCCCCCGTGCCATCCTCCAGCCTTACCCGCGGGGCATGGGGCTTGCAAGGTGCGCGGCTATGGGCTGACTGAGGTCCCCACAGCCCCACGAACCTGCAAAGTTTACAGGATGAGGTGCTGCTAGCCCAGGGAGGCCCGGGAGGGCGCCCCACCTTGTAGTGGCGGCTACAGGGCCTCCTGCTCTTGGGGGACGCCAGGGCTCATGGCCCTGGTTGGATTGGTGACCCTCGGCCGCCCAAAGCCAGGCCACCGCCCTCCTGGGGCACTGCTGTCCCTCTGTGGCCGCCGAGGCTGCTCACGCTGCTCCCATTTCAGCCTCCATCCAGCTGTGGCGCTCCCGGCTGGGCCGCGTGCTGTGCTCCACGGCCAACTGCCTGCTCCTCATGAAGGTAGGGCCGCGGCCTGCGCCCGGGGGGCTGGGGCGGGGGCTGCTGCCTGGGGACGGGGGGCGCCGCGGCAGGGGACACGTGCAGGCGGAGCGCAGTAACTCTTATGGCTGAATTTACCTTCACTTCTGAAAGAAGCTTAAGCAGACTGTTGACGTCGCCAAGCTTATTAGCTTATTTGGATCGTTCACGCTCAGGTGCCCACGCTCCCGAGGCAGCGGGGGTGTCTGGTCTTGGTTGGACTTGCCGGTGCACAAGGTGGCCACGAGCGTCCATGTGCCTCCCTCCGGGCCTTCTCCCCTGAGGAGAAGCTCCTGAGACAGAGGCTTGAGTAGGGCGGGCCGTGCTGGCCTCCTGCAGCCCTTGGTGGGTAGGGGGCTGCGCGGCTGGCAGAGGCCACAGCCTGTGACCTGGGCCCTGTGCCAGGAAGCCACGGTGGCCCTGGCGCAGGGCAGGCCATGTTCCGAGGGGGCATGCTGGGGGCCCCTCACGGCCGATGGGGACAGCCAAGGGGACGGGGCACAGGCCCAGTCACGGCTGGTGCCTCGTTAACCCTGGTGCCGGGCACCTCGGGCGGGCCTGCCCTGCTGGCAGCTCTTGTCTGCATTTCCACCACACTTGGCCCTTCCTGTGGTGCCGTGGCCCTGACCCTTGAGCCCTTGCTGGCGCCCAGGCTGACCGCAGAGGGGGTGGGGGCAGGACGGGCTGTAGTGGGGAGACGAGACACTCGGTCAGGTTTGGCCCCTGGGAGGCTGCTGGAAGGGGTGGGCCGGCCCTCAGCACTGCTCTCTGCCCAGGACTACGCGCTGGCGGTGGACGTGTACCGCGCCGTGATCCAGTACCAGCCCGAGCAGGAGCCGCAGCTGCTGAGCGGCATCGGCCGCATCTTCCTGCAGGTTAGGCCTGGGGCCGCGGAGTCCGCAGCTGGGGACCGGGTGTCGTGACAGGGAGCCCGGGCCGGCTGCCCTCAGCTGTCCTGCTGCAGCTGGGAACGCGCCGACGGAAACGTGCGGAAGCCTCTCTTCGCCTGGCTGACAGCTCCCTGGTGGCAGACTTGTGCCGGGAGGGGCACGAGCCCCAGGGAGCGGCTGCAGCGCGCGAGGCGGCCGCAGTCCGAGGACAGGCTTCCTCCGCAGCCGACACAGACGGGCGGGCACCTTCGTTTTTGTGGGGAGCCTGGGCTGCCGCGCCCACCCTGAGCGCTCCTCCAGCACCGTCTCACGAAGGATCTGGGGCGTCCCCGTGTGTCATATGTCAGAGCGGGGTATATCCCCCCCCAGAGCAGGGCGTCCCTTCTTGCAGGACAGTTCCACAGCTGGGGGTCGGAAGACAGCGGACCCGAGACCAGCAGTGCGGGCCGCCCTAAGTGCTGGGGTTCTCAGCCACCCCTTTCACGGGGCGCCTTTCAGGGGGCACAGGTTAAGGCCGTGAGGCACGTGGGGTGGCTGGCCTCTGGGGAGGGCGCTGCGGAGAAGGCTGAGGGAGCCACAGGCCCCAGCGGGAGCTCAGGGTCGTGCCTGTCGCCCGCCCCACAGATCGGAGACATCAGGACGGCCGAGAAGTACTTCCAGGACGTGGAGAGAGCGACGCGGACACTGGAGGGGCCCCGGGGCAAGGTCATGGTGCTCATGAACAGGTGCGCAGCGCACGCGCCCTTGCGCCCCGGAGCCAGACTGGCCCGCGTGGCCTCCTGTCGGGGTCTGGGGCTGGAAGTGAGTGGCCGCAGACCCCCAGCGCACACGGGGTTCACGTTAGTTGCCCCACTCAGTCGTGAAGACCAATGTTAGCGCTTCCCCCCAAGGTGCTGCCGCAGCCCCCCAGTCCTGCATGTGCCTGCGCAACTGCTGCTGTCTGGGGACCTCCGGCTGCCACTGTGGGCAGCAAGGGGCCTCAGCTGGCATGCGGCCCCCACAGCAGATCGGGGCGGCGCCCGTTCCTGCCGCAGGAAGCCTGCAGGTCGCAGGATGCCCGAGCCGAGGCGGCAGCTGTGCCCTGACCCGCCGGGCTCTCCCGCCCCTCCCTGGAGCCTGTCCTTGCCTGGGGGACCCGTGGGCACCACGGGTGCTCAGGCCTCACCTCTCGGCTCCCGTGTCTGTTGCAGAGCTTTCCTTCACCTCGGTCAGAATAACTTTGCGGACGCCCACAGGTTCTTCTCGGACGTCCTGAAGCTCGAGCCGACCAACGCTGTGGTGAGGCCCGCCCGCAGGGGCGGCGGGGCGGGGCGGGGCGGGCAGGGGGCCGCGGGGCCCAGGCGCTGCTGACCGGCGCGTGTCCACAGGCCAACAACAACGCGGCCGTGTGCCTGCTCTACCTGGGCCGGCTCAAGGACTCGCTGCGGCAGCTGGAGGCCATGGTGCAGCAGGACCCGCGGCGCGGCCTGCACGAGAGCGTGCTCTTCAACCTGACCACCATGTACGAGCTGGAGTCCTCGCGCAGCGCGCAGAAGAAGCAGGCGCTGCTGGGCGCCGTGGCCGGCACAGAGGGCGACAGCTTCAACACCCAGTGCCTCAAGCTGGCCTAGCCCCGCCGGGAGCGGCCCACGGACCTGAGGGGCGCCTCAGCCCGGACTGCCGCTGCGCCCCGCGTCCTCAGAGGCCCCGCTGCTGTCGTGAGTGGTAGAGGCCAAACAGCCGCACGGAGGCCTTTGTGCGCCTCTCGCGCCTGCCCCCACCCGAAGGAGCGCCCCGCCTTCACCTGCTGCTTCTGGGCTCACCGCCTCCCAACGCTGCATTTGCACATCAAGGGGCGGGGTGAGCCGGGGTGGACCAGGGCCCCGAGAATGTAGGCACGGCCTGCAGGGCCCTCGCTCTTGCCTCCTGGTCACACCTGCTTCGCCCTTCGTGGTTTGCCGGCGGCTGCGGCGCCAACAACATGGTTGTCAACAATGATTCGGGAGCACAGGCCGGCCCCTCTCCGCCACCCCTCCCGCCCAGGCTCAGCGTGGGGGCTGGTGTCCCCCTGGGGGGCCGCGCCCTGCATGCTTTTGCGGGGCAGCTGGGGACCCTGCACTCGCTCCTCAATCCACTTTAGGATTCCCACTTTGCGGAAAGCAGAGCTCGCTCTGCTGGAGGACACGGGCGGCGCGAGGTGCGGGTTTGTAAAGGACTCCTGCGCGAGGGCTGGACGCGTCTGGAAAAAGTGAATTAAAGGTTAAGATGAGAAAGTGGTGAGGTGCCAAGGGGTTGGGGGGCGCCAGGGAGGTTTTCAAATCTGCGAGAAGAATCCATCTGATCCCTTCGCTTCGAGGGTTTCCTTCAAATATCCTTCGGGGTGGAAGGCAGACGCCACAGAGCCGAGCCAGCCCAGTCAGCCAGCGGACAGCTTGCCCAGGGTACTGGCATGTGGGCCCCAGAACCCACTCCCCAGCCCTGACCACCACCTCGGCCCCTGGCCTGCGCACACGTCCACGCTGAGCTGCAGAGCTGACCTCGAGGGCCAGGGCTGGGCTTCCTCAGCGCGGTGGGAGCCGAGGGGAGGAGGGGGGTTTAACAAGGTTTTTATCCAGCTTCAATGGCTTAAAAAGCCCAAAACATGGACTTTGGGGGATTTCCAGGATAACAAATACGGCATCCTTGGGTTTCAAGCTCAACACTGTCACCGTACCCAAAGATGGCGGGGGTCACCTGGAGCCCCACCCTGAGGTCCCCAAGGCCGGCGTTACACCCCATGGACAGGCCTGGGGGGCCTGAGTGGGTTCATGACCAGCCCCTGGGCAGAGGCAACTCTGATCCAGCGGCATAGCAGGCGGCTGCTTTATTCTGGACGTCAGCACCATGGGGGAGCCCCCCACCCTCTCAGTTTTGGGTGCCACTTCTTCCATCTGGTGAGCCCCTCCTGGGGTCACAGCTCACACGGGTGCAGACAGGCGTCACCAGAGGCCCCATCCAGGCCCAAGGGGTCTGCACCCGTGTGTGGCTCGCGTGGGGTGGGGCTGGCGCCATGGGAAGGTGCTGGGGTCGCAGGATCTTGCGGGGAAGCGCCCCAGACTCGGTCTAGGGGGCACGGCAGGGAGGCACCCCAACTCTGCCCTGCCTGCAGGGCCCACTACGCCGTCTGCAACAGGAATGCCAAGTACCGGCCCCGCGCCTCGAAGTGGTCGGCTGGCCGGTTGTAGGCAGTCCACTTGGGCTCGCCCGCGAACAGCCGCATGGCCTTCACATAGTTCTGGAAGACACGGACGTGGCACCGTCGGGCAGCAGCGCAGGACGCCTCGCTCCGCTGGCCACAGCCCGGGCACCGCCCTCCCTGCAGACGTGGGGCCACCCCTCGCCCGCAGACCCGCCAGGGAAGGGCACCTGCTCGTCCAGCGTGAAGCGGTGGTAGATGCCGGCCGGCAGCGTGATTAGATCCCCCTTCTCCATGAAGATCCGGATCCACTTGTCCTCCGCGTCCCTCACGTCGAAGTAGCCACTGCCCTCCAGGACGTAGCGGATCTCCTCGTCCAGGTGCAGGTGCTCCTCGTAGAACGTCTTAATCTGGGGCGCGGAAGGCAGCCCTGAGAGCCTGCACACGCCTGCAGCAGCGGGAGGAGGGAGCCGGTGCCCACAGGCCAGGTCACCGCGGCCTCCGCAGCTGGGCCGCAGGTGCCGTGCCCAGAGCAGGGCTTCGTGGGCCCAGCAGCCCCTCGTGGGCCTTCACCGGCTGCAGAAAGGTGACACGCCAGGTGCATGTCGGGGGGTGGCCGTGCAGGACACATGGGGCACAGCCCGAGACCCGCCGCAGGCTGGCCGTGGCAGGGGACTGTCCCCCGCTGGCTGTGTGGTGGCCGTCTGGCGTTTCGTACTGGCTAATAAAAGGGCGGCAAGTTTGGGGGAAAGAGCCTGAGCCCGGGGCGAGGCGGCAGCACCTCAGGAGGGAAGGAAGCCTGGTGGCGCCCGGCCAGACCCTCCCTCTGCTGCGAAGCCGAAATGGAGGCGTCAGAGAAGAGCTGTTGCCGGGTGCTGGGCGCGCCCTTCCAGCTGCTTTACCTTTTCCTCGTAATTGGGCAGTGTGTCTCTGCTGATGGTTATGATGTCCATCCAGGAGTAGCTCCTTTCTCTGCGGATCTTTTCCAGCTCCGGGTCACTCTCGAACTTGTCAGCATCCAGCTAAGAGTGTAACATGGAAGTGGGTCCGCGGAGGCTGAGGCAGCTGCTGACCCCCCCACACCTCCGCCCGTGCCCCCGCCCAGTGCCAGCCCTGCCCGCCCAGTGGGGCCTCCCCCTGCCGGCTCAGGGGAGCGTCCCCCCGAGGCCTGGCGCTGGCCAATGAACCCAAGGCCGCCCGGGGACAAAAGGCTTCTGTCTCTGGCCCTGGGCCTTTATCCTCTGCCCTATTTCCTTTTCTTAAAGAAACAAACCACCTTCTAGACCAGAAAGGGTGACTCAGCTTCTTTCCAAATCCACCTGGCGCCGTCCTGGCCCTGGTCCTGGCAGCGCCTCCAGCCAAGTCCCCGGCACCCTTTGCACTGGGCACACCTGTCCCTTTCCACAGGCGCACACCTGTCCCTCTGCACTGGGCACACCTGTCCCTTTGTACTGGGCACGCCTGTCCTTTTGCACAGGCGCACACCTGTCCCTTTGCACTGGGCACACCTGTCCCTTTCCACAGGCGCACTCCTGTCCCTCTGCACTGGGCACACCTGTCCCTTTGTACTGGGCACGCCTGTCCTTTTGCACAGGCGCACACCTGTCCCTTTGCACTGGGCACACCTGTCCCTTTGCACTGGGCACACCTGTCCCTGTGCACCGGGCGCACATCTGTCCCTCGGGCCAGTGAGCGCCGCCGCCTCAGGCCAGCGCCCTCAGCCTCCGGTCCTGGCGACGCCCGTTGCGCAGCTGCTGAAGGGCAAGCCCCGCCATATCCCAGCGCGCGAGTCATCTCTGCGAGGACGACTCCCCGCCCGCGCGGTCACCGGGGCGGGGGTGTCACCAGGGTCCTCGGCCACAGCCAAGCAGGGCACTGCGCCCCGGGAGCCACAGGCATCAGGGACACTGCGGGCAGCAGCGGCTAAGCCCAAGCCCGCGCAGCGCGGCCGGAGGGGCTAACACGGCGGACGGCAGGGCGCGTGCACGGCGCGCCGGCCCCGGGGTGCCTCGAGCCAGGGAGAGTGAGGAGCCACGAGGACCCGCGGCGGCGCCCTGAGCATGCGCGCAGTGCCTAGCAACGCAGAGCGGCCGACCCCCCGGCCCGCCACTGAGCATGCGCGCAGTGCCTAGGCAACACAGAGCGCCTGATCGCAGGCTCCTCCACTGAGCATGCGCGCAGTGCCTAGGCAACGCAGAGCGCCCGACCCCCCGCCCCGCCACTGAGCATGCGCGCAGTGCCTAGGCAACACAGCGCCTGATCGCAGGCTCCGCCACTGAGCATGCGCACCGCTCCCAGGCCCTGTCATGGCCATTGACCGCCCCCCCATTCGGTGTAGCGTGTGCGTTTGCGCGGGAACTCGGGGCACCTGAGTGGGGACCGGTCCCTCCGCCCGCCTCGGGAGCCCGGGCCGCACCCCGTGCCCGCGCACCTTCCAGTAAAGGACCCCGAGACGGCGCAGCTGCTCCAGGTCGACCGGACGGTCGGGCTCGGCGCGGTGGGGCCGCCTCGGGTCGTCGTCGGAGTCGTCCATGTACCAGGCCTGCACCATGTCTGCCGTCGGCGCGCGACCCGCCCGCCCCGCCGCAGCCCGAGCCCGGCTGGCCCCGACCCTGATGGCCCGCCCCCAGCCCCGCCGGACCCCGCCCCAGCGCTGACCCCGCCCCGCTAACCCGCCCCCAGCGCTGAGCCCCGCCCATTCCCGCCCGCAGCCTGACCCCGCAGCCTGACCCCGCCCCCGGCCCCGCCCCGACGAGGGCACGCCCCTCCGCCCCGCCCCGCCCCGCCCCCCGAGCGCGGCTGCGGCGGCCCCCGCTGCGGAGCCGCCTCTGCGCCGCCGTTTCTCCCGCCGGGCGCGGGCGGCCGTCCAGTGCCCCGGGCCCGCCCGCGCCGCCCTCGGGGTGTGCGGCCCCGGAGCGACGCGAGCTCCCTCTCCCCGCCCTCGGGCCCCGCGTTTAGACGCCTGGACCCAAGCCCGGCTGCGCGGCGCCGACCTCCCCAGCCTCGAGGGGCGCCGCGCGCTCGGCCGGAACCGGGGAACCCGCGGGCTTAGAGGCGGGACATCGCCCGGGCCCGGACACGCTGCGCCGGAGCGCACGTGTGTGTCACCCCCTGCGCCCACCTGGTCGCCGCCCAGGTCACGGCCCCCACCCGCCCCCACCCGCGCTCGCGGCCACAGCCCCAGCCACCACCCACTCTCCGGCGGGCCCGCTTCCTCCCTGGCCGGCGAGAGCCCCGGCGGGCTCCCCGCACCTCAGGGCCGTCCTCAGCCCCGCGGGGCCGTCTCTGTGCTCCCGCGCCTGCAGCCAGGCCGCCGAGCTGCCCCCGCCACGCGGGCGCGGGCCTATCACAGGCCTGGCGCTCCCCGCCGCGGAAGGCTGTGCAGGGCCAAGGATTTCAACAAGCCAGCGAGTGCCCACACTGGCTGGAGGCGGCCCAAGGTCCTGGGCCTGCCCAGGCCCCCAGCGCCACCCCCCAAGGCTGCGGGCCATGATGCAGTGCCCCCGGGATGCTGAGGGGGAGCAGCGAGTAGGCCGGCTCCTCACCCCGCCACTCTGGAGGTCCGGGAGTCTTGGGGAAACAGTTGAGCAGAGGGTAGGGCCGAAAGCCTGAGTCTGTGCTGGCGGGATCGTCCCGAGGGCACCTGTCCACTGGAAAATCCTGGAAACAATGGCCAGCCAGCACCTGATGTGAAACAGCCCTCTGCCTTAGAGGGCCTTAGAGGAACAGCCCACCGCAGGCCTGGAGCAGGAGGGACCAGGAGGGCCCAGAGCACGAGCAGGGCGGGTGGCTCAAGGGCCTGCACAGTGGCGGGGCTCAGGGAGTAGCAGCAGCGGGGCATCCCCTCCAGCAGGGCACAGCAGCCACGATTCGGGGTCAGGGAAAAGCGACAATGGCAGAGGGTGAAGGCCAGCGCGTGGCCTGCGCTGGTGACACGCAGAACAGATGGACGGCGCGGGAGCAGCCCAGCACATCCAGGATGGGCCGATGGGCCTGCCCAGGCTCCTCCCAGACGACCTGGAGGGGCCAGCAGGTGGGACGGAACTTCAGTAGAGACTGAGGAAAGCCTAGCCAAACAGCCAGCGGGGCTGGAGTCGGGCCCGCGTGCCCTCGGGCCTGGTCCGCACCCTCTTCCAGCCTGGGGCTGGCAACATGAGCAGCGTGGGCAGTAATGATGCCTAAGCTCCGCATGCGGTGAGTCCTTTCCTGCTTGTCTCCACGAATAGGCGAGAAGTGAACAATCAAGGCCAGTTCTTCAACCTCGCAGTGTTGCGCAGGGAAATGTCTCAACAGATTTCTCCCCCCTCGATGCGACCCCCTGGAGACGGGCGTGCTCAGCACTCACCATGGGGATCCCGGCCCCGCTCCCCGCCACACTGTAACAGGGTGGTCCCAGGAAAGGGGGAGGTTCCCTGCCCCACCCAAGGGAGGGTGGAGCTGAGCAGGAAGAGGAGAAGCTGCAGAAGAGACTGAGGAAGGAAGCAGGATGGAGCCAGGAGACCTGGAGGAGGCGCGTGGAGCCTAGAGACACGTGAAGAAACTGCGCTTGTCTTTTGGTTGTGGACGGGGTGACACAGATGTGGGTGAGACCCGTGGGGAGGTGACCATGGCGGCTTTTATCTTGATGTTGATTTTGCTCTTTTCCTTCCGGGCTTGTCTGGTTGTTTCTGACCCTTTTCTGTGGGTCCCCACTGGAAGATGCTTTAGACTTGGGGCAGGCCTTGGGGCCTTGCTCTGGGCCAATCCCATTTGGATGGACTTTTACCCACGAGGGGACGGGTAACTCTGGATGCTTCATTTAGAAACTAGACTCTTTGCCTTACCTGTATTGTGTCCTAGTTTTATTAAAGTTCCTTCCCATTAAAGTCTTATATGTTTTGTGTTGATGCGGCGGATGGCAGAACCCATGTAGAATAGGCAGGTTTGCAGGGTTTGGGCTGCCCCTCTCCCTGTCCTATAACAACACCACCTCTGGGCCACACCCCTCCCCGGGCAGTGCCTTCCTTGAAGGGCACAGACGGCCAGGCCCACCTGGGGCGAAGGCTCAGCCCCACCGAGGAAACGTCTAAACCCCGTCTGTCCGCCCCTTCTCCAGTCGAAGCCCTAAGCCGCCTGCCCGACCGCGGGCATGCTGAGCGGAGCCAAGCCCATCGAGCAGGATGCAGAAGCCTCACCAGCCCTCAGGCCTCAAGGGTGCCCAATTTATTGCCCACTGAGCCCTCTCAGCCCGTGGCCGGCCCGCCTTCCGGTCCGTCTGAAGCTCGCCAGCACCCTGCCCCAGGTCCATCCTGCAGGCGCCGGCAGGAAAGGCACAAGCCACCGGGGCGCCCGCTTCTCCAGGGGTGAAGGGTCTCGCTCAGTCTTCAGGCTGTCTGGCTCCTTCTCTGGCTAATCTGTCGGCTTCTTCGTTGCCTCTGAACCCCGAATGACCAGGCACGTGCATCTGTTAAATAAATAGTGTCCTCAGCTTTACTGATGCCTCCCACACGCAGCAGCTGCCTCTGCAGAACAGCCCTCAGGGCAGCGACACTGCACAGCAGCACCCCCCACCCCCCCCACCCCCGACTCCACTCACAGCCTGCGCCGCTCCCGCCCACCCGGGGCTGAAGGAGCTCCCCAGCCAGCCCGTGTGGGCAGGAGGGACCCGAAACAGGACACTGCATCCTCCCCAAGTGCGGCTTAGAGGCGGCGCGTGTTTCTGAGGGCGTGGTGAGAGGCAGGCCTAACGACCTCGGGTCCTGGGAGGCCGCCGAGGCCAAGGCGACGCCTGCAGTTTAACTTGCTGTGTCGTTTGAAAAAATAATATTAGGAAATCTTCAGATATGAGGAAAAATCTTCGATTTTGGCAGAAACATTTTACTAAGGCCTGATCACGCAACTTAATTTTAATTGATTTAATTTAGTTTTTATTAAATTAGCTTTAATGTTATGACCAACTGCCAAGAAACCCAGAGGCTGACCGCCCAGCAGCCTTCCATGGGGTGCCGGCTGGGCGGGGCCCAGGGCCCCCCAATTGAGCATCGCGCCAGGTGAGCCTGCTGGCGCCGACCCGCAGAAGCAGTCGCTGACCTCAGTCACCCATCATGTGGAGTCCCCCCACCCCCGTTAGCCCCGCAGCCCCAGCTGGGACTCACCCACTGGATGTCCATGCCCTGCGCCAGCCTCTCCAGCTGCACGAAGTCCTCCTTGTTGATCACGTCCTTCCCTGAACTCGTCTTCCAGCCGTTTTTCTTCCAACCTTGAACCCAATTCGTGATGCCTACGAGAGAGCACCTCCTGGCCGTCAGTGGATCTGGAGTGTTCTGGCCAGCCTTCCCCACAGACGTCAGCCCTGTTCTGAGCAGCCCGGGAACGGGCCCCTGCACTAGGCCCGGCTCAGGCCTCAGCCCAAGATGCCACCTCCGTGCCCCATCAGCACCGCCCCTGCCCCACACCATTTCCCGAAGGAGCAGTCTGCAAGCCACGTGGTGACACCCTGGATGCCACGGCCACGAGGGCAGGGGAGAGGCACGCACGGCAGCTGGAGCCTAGACTCCAAGCTTCAACTCCCCCGCGCTGCGGGGCTGCCCTGCCAGCCAGCGTGTGTGGCTCACCGTTGATAGTGAACATGCTGTCCGTGTAGAGGACCAGCTTGCTGATGTGCTGGGCCTTCGCCTGTTCCAGGGCTTTGCAGGCTGCCTTGAGAAAACAGGTGTGTCAACTGCAGGTACTGCATGATGCTCCACGCAACCACGTTCAGAACCACTGCGCAGGCACGCGCACCCTCTCTGTGCTGACCGTGCAGATTAGCCTCTCCGGGAATAAGACCACACGGACAAGCCTCCTCTATTTGAAATGAGTTTCAGGACTTTTCTGGAAAATTCCCACCCTCCGACACTGTCACTAATCCCAACTTAAGTGGGTGAGTGTCCTGAGTGTCCGCGCGCGTGCAGTCGGGGCTGAGGAGAAGCTCAGGCCTCGTGCGAGATCTGCCGAGAACTTACATGAATCTCTGCTCTTTGGTTTGTCTGTCGCCCAGGAAGTCTAATGCCTACGTTCCTGGTTTCAAAACAGCACAAAGGAAAATAAAATTATAAAGCAAATTCTCAAAGTCATTTGGACGCTATGAAGACATGAAAGCACCAGAGAACACGGCCGCCAAGGGCCGCCGCTACCAGCACCCTCCCGAGAAGCGCGGTGGCGTCCCAGGAGCGTGGGCCCGATGCGGAGAGTGCACTCCAGCGCTGCCCGGACAACCTCAGCAGACACCAGGCCACGCACGCACGCCACACCAGGTCCCCGCCCCCACAGGCCCCAGGGAACTCCCAGGAGGCAAGGGTGACCAGCCGAGGGGTGTGGGGGCCACCACGAGCAGCTCACCAGCCACACCCCTGCTGCCCAGCCTCGTCCCTGCGCAGTCCCAGGCCGGGCCCACTTGAACGCCCACATGCACATCACCCACTGGGCGTCCATGGGTGAGCAACAAGGGGCCTGGAAGCTCACTCCACCACGACAGAGGGATGAGACAGGGCCCAAGTCGGGGCCTGCTTGGTGCCCTCCAAACCACCACCCAGGGATGCATGACTCTCTGGGCCACGAGGCTCTGCTGGTGTAAACTCTTCTCAGCGAGCCGCACAGACACGTCAGAGCTCCAGGCGGGAGAGCCATGTGGAGGGGCTCACATTCTGAGGGACACGGCCGCCAGGTCCGCACGCACCGGGGCCTGTCCCCACCGTCCCGGGCAGAGCTGGCTCCCAAGCCACCAATCTGCGCGCCGGCCTGTTCCACACGTCTGGCAGATAATTTGCTTCAATCCGAAGCTTGAAAATTCCAACTCATTTGCTCACTTACAGAGGATGGCCGGGCCCCCAGTAGACTCCGATCCCAGCTCGCGCCCTTCTGCGCCCGTTGCTGGAGCAGCAGCCGTCAGTGTAGACCACGACGGACTCACCTGCGGAGGAAGGCTGGGTGAGTGCGGTGGCCCGCCCCTGCAGCCAGCGCCCAGCAGCGCTGGGCAGGACACACATTCGGCTGGGCAGGACTCAATGACACCAGGTCAGTCTTTCCTCTGGGAGAGGCACCCCCCCACCCCCCTTCACGGGCACTTGACACGTTTCACTTGAACTCTCTTGGTTTCTGAGGCGCCTACCAGGCAAGGCCAAGGCCATGGCTCAGCAAACCCAGGCCCTGCAGTGCCAGTGCTGCTCCCCACTCCTCCCTGTAGGGCCCTCAGACAGGCAGGGGCCGAGCTCACTCCAGGGTCCCTGCAGACAAGCTGTGCCCTGGGACCCGGAGCTGCCCACTGACATCCTGGTTCTGCTCAGCATCCGGCCACCAAGGGGCCGTGTCCTGTCTGCGTCTTTCGGTCAACAGAGGGTCCGACCAATGCACAGACTGTCCCAACGTGCGAATGTGAAAAATAAAGACAAGGACTGACGTGAGGCCGCTCTCAGCAGCATCAGAAAGTCAGGCTGCCAGGGCCTAACAGGCAGGCATGGGCATCTCCTGAGGTGGCTGCCACCAGGACGGCAGCGGACTCTCGGGGCACAGGAGACATCCCAAAGTGGACCGGGGCCGAGCAACACGTGCTGGGCGAGCTCCCCAGATCCGCTGGGCCTGACATGTAACACGAGGCGACCACTGCCAGAGCCCAGCAGCCCCTCGCTCGGTGCCTTCAAGCAACTGCAGGGCTTCCCCCGTCTCCCTACAAATAAGCTGCTTTGATGGCCACTGGCAAGTCACCCCGGCAAGGCCATTGGCTTTGTTTTCCATGCAACTGCAAAGCTGATTTCTACTTCTGATAAGGTGACAAGGCAGCGCCTGCTGGTTTTCCTTGGAAATCTGAACCTACAAATACATGATTTATACAAAAGACGCTACGTATTCCGACTGTCTGTCCACAAGTGTCAGTGACAAAAGGGAGCCTCACAGGCTGTGTCGGAAGCAGAGGCCTTCCTGGAACTAGGAGGTGTTCAGGGCCTCTTGCTCTGCAGGATAAGGCAGGGCCGCGTCTGTCTGCGAAAACTGACTGTAAAAGGCTCAGGCGCAGGCGCGTTTATAACCAGGAGCTCCCCAGGGCCTCTCCCATTTCAGGAAGCTGTGTCTTCCCTTTTCCCAGAGTGACGTGAAAGGCCGTGCGCACGGGGAACACTGTCACTTCAGAAGATTACAGTGTGTTCCGCTAGTGGCCTATGGAGTGATTTTTCCGAGGGTGTCCAAAATGTTACCCATCCTGTAGCAGGGGAGCAAATATAAAAGAGTAACCTCAGAGGTCTCCAGTGACCTCCCCAGCTAAGAACGAGGATGCTAAACATCAGCTCAAGTGTCCCCCGCTCAATGGGACGTTTCCGCACGCTAGACCACACACTAGACACTGAAGTGCCGAGGCAGGTGTACCCATGTAGGAAAAGGTGTCCCTGCTCACGCAAGGGGCCGCGCCAGCGTCCTGCCGCCCGAGCTTCGCGCAGGGCTCCCCGGGCTGCGCCCCGTCGTCCTCGGAGGGCTCTCGGAGGCGCTTGTTTGCTCTCCCTTGTGACTCTTGTCCAAGCTGACTTTTCTTCCCTGAAAAAGAGCGTCTACTCAAAAGTGGAAACCATGGATGCAACATGAACGGATGAAGAATCCAGCAATTCAGCAAGCCAGGCTCCAGCCCCTCTGCATGTGGCCCCCAGCACAGGGGCTGACGACGGCCCCTACCTCACTCTGAAGCCGGTGAAATCAGCCCAAGGTGGCTCAGGCGAGCGCCTTAAGAGCAACGAGACAGCAGAGTCTGCGCAGAGCGTGCTCCCCAAGGCGGTGGCAGAGTTGCCAAGGGCTCTGAACCCCTCGGGGTTGTCCACAGTGTGAAAATCCGAGGGGCCCTTTCCCAAAAAGAACAAGCGCGACACCCTGCCCACGGAGTTTGTGGTCTCCGAGGCACCACTCCTGCCTCCCGCCCCGACGCTCCAGCCCGCGGCACCACGAGAGCCCCAGGGAGCTGCGAGGCAGGTGCAGCCATAAACAAACGGCTGATGGCAGAAAAGAGAGGCAGGCCGGTGCCGCTGCGGAGCGGGTGTGCAGCCCGGCCGGCGGCTCCAGGTGCGCTCAGCTCGCGCACACTCGGCCCGCCGGAGCAGGGGCTCTCACTCAGGCACCCCCGCAGAAGGGGAGTCAGAGCCGGGCACACAAGCCAGTTTCAACTTAACTCAGTCCACGGATTCAAACCCTATGGCTTCTGTTAACTGAGGCCCCAGGCAGGGTGGTCTGAAGCTGCTTTTCTTAGAGTATTGTTGTGTAAAGTGGGGTCGGGGCACAGGGGGTGACTATCTCCAACACAACAACCTTAATCCACCACAAGAGCTTTCACTTTCACCTCTAAACCCCTACACCAGGGACAGAGAGACGGGGCTCTAATGCTCACTGAAAAGAGGGGGGAAGCCAAAGCTCCCCTGCCTGCACAACCTCTCAGCCGCAGAACAACAAGGTCACCAGGGCGAAACTCGCATCACCGCCACATTTAGCATGACGTGCGAGACTCCCGCTCCGTCACATTCCTGTCACCGTCTAGTCCCCATAAACTGTTCCTCTGGTTTTACAGAAGTAAGCCCTAAATATGCAGGTGCAGGTCAAAGTGAAATTTTCTAGGATTTTGACAATGACATATGACATAAATACTGCTTTCATCTACTATTAACACTGTAGGTTTTACAGTGGAGTCAAAATTCTTAAAGTACAGGTAAGAGACTGAAAGAAAAGGAGATGAGCGGGCCTCCCCGGTGGTGCAGCGGGTTGAGCGCCGTGCTGTGAAGCTGTTCGCAGCTTCTACAGCACCGATTTGATCCCTGCCGGCTGGCGAGGATCCCACATGGCGCGGCAGACCTCTCCTGTCGTGCCCGCTGCTCCCCTCAGCGGTGTATTTCTGTCGTCTGCCTGTTCTGCTCCCCGCTCTGTCTCTGGTGAATCCTCTCACCCTCCTGCGCCTCTGGCCTGTACGCCAGCTCTTGCATAAAAATAAATAAATCTTAAAAAAAAAAAAAAAAAAGGATATGAGGGCTGTCAGAAATTTTTTCTTCATAAAATTGTAATTTTTTTCTTTAAATTAACCCTAACTCAGCATATATAAACCACAATAACTAACAAATAGCTCAATAATACCCAAATAAGAATAAGTTAAGTTGAAACTGTTATTAAAGAAGGAAACTAGGGCCTTTCTGGTGGTGCAGGGGTTAAATGTAACGTTATCAAGTATTGCCAGCCTCTGCAGCACACAGTTCAATCCCCGGCCAGAGAGCCGACCCACAGGGTGCAGCAGACCTCTCCTGTCTCCTCAATGCTCCCCTCAGCAGTAGATTTCAGTGGATCCACCTGTTCTGCTCCCCACTCTGTCTCTGGTGAGAGACTTACCTCTCACCTCCCACACCTCTGGCTTACACTCCAGTTCTTGTATGCATAGACCTTTAAAAAAAAAAATAAGGAAACTGGAAAGGGGCTGACACTCTTGCTTTGTGTGGTACCCCAACATTAAAGATGTGAAATCCCAACTTACTAACCTAAGTCACTGACTAGGTCTCTATAAACTTTTAGAGAAGTTAGGCCCATAGATATAAAGGAATAGATCGTCTTCAGATTCAGTGTACCCAACAAACAGAATCATACCTCAATTAAAAGAGCTGAGATATGAATTGGTTAAAACAAAAAACCTGCAAAGGGGGGTGGCAGGGGATGTCAAGAAATCCAACCATAAGAAGTCCTCTTTCCAAACCCACTTTCTGTCCCCAAGTGATTTCTCCCCTGGTGAGAATGTCTGCCAATAAGAACCTGTTAAAGCTGCTGGAGAGAAGGGGGGAAGCAGATGCACAAGCGAGGCGCCTGCTCCCTAAACCAGCCTTCAGACCAGATCCCTGTGCAACCCGCTTTGCCCAGTTGTGAGGACACCCCAAGGGGCAGCCATTCCATGCTCAAGCTGCCTGGTGGGCACTAGGGAGACAATTCAAAAGAAGCTGACTCAAACTGCTCTCTGCTCAATCCACTGGAACAGGAAAGGATGAGTGGCATCAACAAAAATCACCCTCCGAGGGGCGACAAGGCATACTTTGTGCTCTGAAGAGTCATCCTCAGTCCTGCATGCCTGATGTCCCTGGTCAGACCTTCTGCTTCAATGAACTCTATCTCTGTAACTCGTGAAACTGGCAGCGGCGGTGGCGCCGCTCTGCAACTCTGGCCTAAGTGAACAGGGCGCATCCCACAGGTGCACACCACGAAAGGAGCCACACTCGTCACTTCACTCGGCACCCCGCTCAACCTGCTAGCCACGCCAGGTGCTCTTTACAGCTGGAAATAGGCCAGTGAGGACACTGAATGGAGCAGCAGGTCCAAGTCCTGGTCTGACCCTCCAACTGCCACTGGCAGGAAGCACTGAGCTAAACCGCCTCCAGCCTGTTTCCTAGTTGGTAAGATGGAAAGATGGAAGAAGTCAGCCCTCCTGGATCTGAGCAGAGGGCAGCTGTAGAGACCAGTGCACATGGTCATGAAAAGCTTAGATTCGAACCGTTTAAAAAGCCAGACGAGTGGTGAGTACCTTCCGAACCATCAGGGCTGGAGGACTTTCTCACAAAGGCCCAGGCCTCCTCCTCCGTGGGGAACTTCTTAAATCTGGCAGCAGGAAACCGGTCCACCTGGGCTCGACATTCGTTCCTGCAACAGAGGCGACGCGAGCCCCTTACGCCACCCATTTGCTGGTCCCCTTCTCGCTGATTCTCTTCTTAGGGTAGGAAAATGTGTGGGAAAGGGGGGTACGTGGACTCTTAGAGGGCGCGGGTCACGCCTTCCAGTGTCGGGTTACGTGAAGCCCCGCCATCCTCTGCAGACGGGCCAGCCGGCCAGGACGCGGGCGCCCTGAGGCTTTCCTCAGCGCCAGGCTTCCTTGGCCCTTGTAAAAAGCCCTAAAAGTATTTCATCGGCGCGAGGCCACTTCTGAGCCGCTGCTCCTCAGCAGCGCGGCTGCCCGGGGAACAGGCGCAGGGGCGTCCGCGGCCGGCGGCGCGGGGTCGGCAGGTCGGGTTCGGGTCCCACTAACAGCCCCGAACTTCCGGCCGCGCCGCGACCCGACGCGCGGCTCACCCCGTCCGCCCCCCAGGCCGTGCCGGGCCCGGCCGGGTGTGCGCGGCCGGCCGGCCGAGGAGCTGGGGCGCGCTCACCAGGTCAGGAAGACCCCGGGCTGGCGGCCCCGCCGCACCGCGTAGAACATGCCGGGCGCCGCCGCAGCGGCCCCCGCAGCGCACGGCCACCCACACGACCCCGCACGCCGCGCCCAGGAGCCGGGGCATCGCTCACGGCCCGCCGGCCACCATCCCGCGCCGCGGCCCGCACCCGACTTCCGCTGGTCGCGACGGCGCGGGTCGATGACGCCAGCCGGCGGGGCCCGTGGGGCGGGGCTATTTGGGGGCGTGGCCTTGGGGCGGGGCTGAGGCCCGGGCTCTTCAGGCTGTCAGTGGGACGGCAGGCCTGGGGCGGGGCCTGGGGCGGGGCCGTGGGCGGGGCCGAGGCCAGGTTCTTCAGGCTGTCAGTGGACGGAGGGCGTGGGGCGGGGCCGGGGCGGGGGCCCGTGGGGCGGGGCCGGGCTGTCCGGAGCAGCGGGTCACGTGCTGGGCAGCGCTTCCAGAGCTGCCCGCGAGGTTGGCAAGCTCTAGATGGCTGTGGGTGCCCTGGCTGGGGTGTGGGTGCTCTAGATGGCTGTGGGTGCCCTGGCTGGGGTGTGGGTGCCCTGGCTGGGGTGTGGGTGCCCTGGCTGGGTGTGGGTGCTCTGGCTGGGGTGTGGGTGCTCTGGCTGGGGTGTGGGTGCTCTGGCTGGGTGTGGGTGCTCTAGCTGGGGTGTGGGTGCCCTGGCTGGGGTGTGGGTGCCCTGGCTGGGGTGTGGGTGCCCTGGCTGGGTGTGGGTGCTCTGGCTGGGGTGTGGGTGCCCTGGCTGGGGTGTGGGTGCCCTGGCCGGGGTGTGGGTGCCCTAGCCGCGGTGTGGGTGGCCACATGTCCTCCGTCAGGGCCGCCTGGGCGTCTCTGTGGCCGCCCCCAGCCCCCACAGTGCCGATGCCTCTCGGCGCCGCCTGGAGGGCCGGGCCCACTCAAGGACATGCCTGCTTCCCTGCAGAGCCTCAAGTTTTGTGTTTGGTGTCCAGGGCCGGGCGTGCCTTCTCACAGCGGGGCCTTGCCGCCTCGCTTCCCACTCCCACACGTGGGTCTCGCGCCGCGCCTGGACCTGGGGCTTCCCAGGTGGCTCCGCAGGAAGACCCCACGGAGGCCACAGGGCCGGCACCTCCAGGCCCCGCCGCCCTCCCCTCCCCCTCCGGAGAGCAGGTGCTGCGGAGGTGGCCTAGCGGTGGGCCGCGTGGGCAGCCCAGTGCAGCCCGTGGACGACCCCATGCGCGGCCTCCAGAGGCACCGCTTCGGTCCCCCATTTTCCCGAGTTCCGAGCGCACAGCGCGTCGCTGCCCGGAGGAGGCGGGTTTGGGCGCCTGCGGTTCCAGGCCAGGCTGAACAGCCCTGGGGGCCTGGGCCCCCACCATGGGCCGTGGCCTGTGCAGTGGGGGGACAGCCTTGCCCTGCAGCACTGCACCAGGCGCAGGCCGAGGGTGTGGGGCGCTTGGTGGCCGCGCTGGCCAGTCTGGGTCAGCAGAGGGCAGAGAGCGTTTGCTTCTGCCGGTCCATGCACACACGTCGCGCGGCTCAGCACAGGGGAGAACTGCGGGACCCTGTCACGGCGGGGGCAGGGAAATTACCCACTACTACTAATTATCCTCTTCCAGACATGAACCCGTTTAATCAACCCCCAAGGCGTCACCGAAGGCTCACCTAAAGGAGCTGCTCCCGGGAGCCAGGCTGGCGCGAGCCTGACCCCGGCCCTGTCAGCGCGGCTGGTCCAGGCAAGGGGGCGACACTCCCTGCCTGACCTCATCTGGCCGTGGTTGCTCTGGCCACCGGGGTGACTGGCCGTGTGCTGGTGCATGAGCCCCCATCCTGGGGGGGGGCAGCGTCCTCTCCTGTCCACTGCGGAGGAGCTGGACGGTCACAGGTTCACCTGCTAATCCCAGCTCCGCCGCTCACTAGCGGTAACATCTGGTGATCTGCCCAGTGAGGCCTGCCCTTTGGAAAGGAGGTGATGGCGTCTGGCGTCATGCAGGCGGCTGTGAATACCGGCCGAGACTGCGTGATGCTTCCACAGTGGCCTGACACGCACGTGCGCTCACTGGCACACCCACCCTTCCTGTCCGGTGTGACGAAGAGAAGAACGGTGTTGCTGTTGCTGAAATGCATTGAGATGAGCAAATGATCGGTTTACGATAAAAGCGTCACCGTTTCTAGATTTTATATCAGCGTCTGAGGAGTTACCTCTTCTGTCAAGTTGATAGGTCGCTGGTGTCTAAAGATCATGTGCTTTTATATAGGAAGCGACCTTGAAACTTTCCAGAAGCCAGTGACCTTGCTTCAGTTAAATGCATGCAATTTTCCCACCCATTACCAACTTGAACGTCCATTCTGCTCCCCTGCCCCTCACGCCAGCCCGGCGATCATAGCAAAACCCTGCCAGGTGTATCTGAAGGGAGAGAAAAAGCCTTTTGTTCTATTCAGTCCATTAATTCTTGGTCCAAAGACAGGTTCATAAATTCATTTTCCATGCAAGGTCTTCTCGGTAGCTCTTCTCTGTCACTTTATTATTAACTCCGGGAACTGGGGTTTGGAGGGGAAAAAATGACTTTGATGTCTGGGCTCTCCCTCCACCCGACCTCTAGGCTTTCTGCCTTAGATACTGAGACCGTGTTCCTCACCCAGGATTCTTTTCCCAGGGGACTCTGGAAGATCTGAATGCCACGTTTCTCAAGGCGCACAGACCTCAGCAGCTCTCTCTGTCCACTTGTGTCTGCGCAAGCTTCTGCTTCTCCTGTTCCCTCTTCCTTTTGGATGTTAAAAGAAAGAAAGGTGGACAGAGGTTGGCAAACCGACTGCTCCCCGCCCCCCCAGCACTGTGCCCTCAATATCTACCCAGGCAGGGTTGCTTGGCCCCTCAGGAAGGAACAGCAGACACTCACCAGCTGCCTTCGCACTGCAGGGAGCCTCACTGCTTCCCGCTACATGCCCGTCACGATTCCTCTCTGCACCTGGCTCCTTGTTGCGCCAAGTGTCCCGGAACCAGCCTCCTCGCATCACTTAGGAGCTTCTTAGGAAGTTACATCAGCCTTAGCCCAGAAGCTGTGGATCCCACCGCAAATTTCACCATGACGCCCAGGGAGTCCCTCACAGGTCAAAGTTGGAGGAACGTGGATTTTTAGATTTAGAGATCATTTACTTTCACCAGTAAGTTTCAACCCCTTGTTAACTGGATTTTCAATTAAGAATCCAAAAGGTTAGATTACTTGACTCAGTAACAGTATGTTTGTTCATTAAAATTATACTCAGGGCCTCCCTGGTGGCGCAGGCGGTTGAGCGCAGCGCTGTGAAGCTGTCCACAGCCTCTGCAGTGCCGTTCAATCCCCGCCGCCTCGGATCAACCCACATGGCGCACAGACCTCTCCTGTCTCACCCGCTGCTCCCCTCAGCACTGTGTATTTCGTCCAACTGCCTGTTCTGTTCCCCGCTCTGTCTCTGGTGAATCCTCTCACCCTCCCGCACATCTGGCCTGTACCCCAGCTCTTGTATAAATAAACATCTTTAAAAATAAATAAATAAAATTATATTCAGAGACATCAAGACCTGTAATAATTTGTTTGGAAAAGTATCCTGTGAAGATTGAGCAGAAAACAGACCAAAACTGAACAGAAAAGGTTAAATAGAAAGCTCACCAAAAAGGGGTATGAAAGCTGCGAAGTGCCTCTTACCTGTGAGACTCCGGAAAATATATCTCATTCACTCGTCAGTGGAGAATAAATGTAACTCAAAGCTGCACTGCGGTCCCGCCTTGCACCCGCCAGATGGCAAGTGTGACAGCCTGCTCTGCTGGTGACGCCACCGGGACACAGGAACCCCCAAATAACGGCCCCTTTCTGGGGACATCTGGCAGTGGTGCCGCAGCTACTCCTGCTTTCTTTTGGATGCTGCAATCCCGCCCCAGAAAGTCACCCCGGGTCTGAAGCACGGAGACAGGCATGCACAGGCCGCCCCGCCAAGTGTCAGGAGCGCCGGCTGCGCTGCGGCGCGGTGGAGAGTCTGCTGTCGGCTCAGCGGAGGGCTGAGCGCTGGCGCGGCCGCCGAGGTGCACCGCGCAGCTCTAACGGGGAACAGGGCGCGCGCTCTTGCGCTGGTGCGGGGACGTGGCGAAAAGCAAGCGCTGCCTTCGTGTGAGGGCGAAAGGGCACTGAGAAAATAGACATTTGAGCAAAAAAGAAGCAAGAAGGATGAGCGGGAACCCCCCGAGCTGGAGTGGGGGGATGAGGCGGGAGGCTGGCGGGGCGGGAGGCACGGCAGAGGTGGGGTGCCCCTTCTCAGAGGGGTACCTTCTTCAGAGCTCTGACTCAGAAATGTGAAGTTTCACATACTCTGACAGCTCAAAGGAAAAGCATGAACACACAGTGCGCGTGTCTCAGAGCAAGACTGTGAGCTGTGGCTTTCGTCACAGCACCGGGAACGCGGGGCGAGGGACACCAGGACGCGGGCACGGCCACCGCGGGTGTTCCGCAGCCGTGTGGCCAGCGGGACTGACACGCTTCTGCGCGGGAGGACGGAGCCCATGCAGCCTGGGGCCCCGTGGGCGCCGGGTCTCCCCGCTGGGGCGACAGCAGGGCGGGGAGGGAAGACCCCCGCTGGGGCAGACCTGCAGTCCAGGTGGAACGTGCGATTTTCTATTGTTTTAAATGCTTACACGCTCCATCTTTTCACTGGGCTGTGACTCAGATGCCATAAAACTCAGCCCTTGTACGTCTAGAGTTGATGAATGCAGCCAATGTGGAGCGGAGCGATGGACGGTGTGATGCTTCTGGAACCTTACCAGGCGTCTGCCGGGCCTGGGTTCCTGACTTGGTCGGGTTTGCGATCCCCCTGTTACCGAAGCCGGCCTCCGTTTCCCTCAGCCAACAAAAGGGAACAGAATTTGAGGAAAGGGAAAGTGGTTTAATTTGTCAACAGATGAGGGGGGCAGCAGACTCACGAGTGCAGGGCCATTTACAGAAAGGAAAAAAAAAGTGGAGCTGGGCGAGGGTCTGCAAAGGGGAGGGTGAGGGGTCAGCACCGAGCTGGGCGGGCGCCATCTTGTTTCTCTGCAACAGCTGATGTTGAACT